AATCGATTCTCCATAAAAATCTACATCGCAAGTCATTTTTTCTGTTTTATTAGTGCCAGAAGTGTTATTCAAAATAAATCGCCCAAGTCCGCCCATCATACTAGCAGATATAATAGCAAATGCTACTAACCATATAAGTCCTATAACAAACACGATGTGTTTTAGTTTAATTGCTTGGACAATTTTATTCTGCGAAACAACCAAATATCTGACAAGACTAATTGCAGTATGAGTGAGTACGCACACCCCAGCAAAGTGCTCTAATATTGGCATTAGATAAGTACAATCCCATTTTTTTGGAATCCAGACGTTATTTAAAGAAGGTAAGCTAAATGGTATGACAAAAATAGATATTGCCAAATCAGCCAATGACAAGTTAAATATAAAATAGTTTGTTAAATCATCGCTCTTCTTTTTCCTTATAATTAAAATGAGGATGAAAAAATTACCCACAATTCCACCAACAACAATAAACATGTCAATACTTGTTAAAATAATTGAGCAAGTGTCTTTCCAGTTCATTCTTTTGTAATTCTAAATGAAAAATGCAGTTGTAAATTATTTATTAAAATTATTTATTAGTAAACTAGTAGTTAATAAAATATACTTGAGGCAAAGGGAAACCAGGTAAAACTATATACGGCGAAAGTATATATTTAAAATTTTTTAACTAAAGAAAAAAAAGTCGATTCTCCATTTTGGCTTTGTTGGACTTTCCCTCACGGTAAATTTTTTTGAGCATAGTCAAACAGTGTTAAATAAAAAGCTAGCAAAAAGTATAAAAATTAATAAAGTTTGAACTTTTTTTTCATTATTTTATTTTTTTGTTTTTAAGCAGTAAAGAGTTTCTTGATAATATTTTTTTAGGTGCCCAAAGAAGTCCTTACGGCCTTATCGCAAGCGCACCATGGAAAAATATTTGTAAGGAAGTTCACACCTCCTTACTTACCGATGTTTAAAAACTTGACCAGATGTGGTCAGAGGTTCTATTCTTGAAGTCTTATCAATATAAATTTACATTGCACATATTGCTCTGACAAAAAAAAAAACTTTTTCAAAAGAGAAAAAAACAAATTATTCACAAAATTTCTATTTAAATATATATATATATATATATATATATATATATATATATATATATATATTCATTTATATATAACTAAAACTTACCGTTAAACTTTTTCGTTTTAAATCTTTTCTAAAATTTAGCTTTGTTTAATCATGGGATCAGTTTAGACAAGTTGTTGTTTTAAACACATAGTAAAAATTTTGGATCAACTTCTAAAATCATTTTTAAGTTATTGAAATATTTTGACTTTATAAGAAAATCTTTTTGTTATATTAATAAACTGACGTACCTGAGTAAAAGTGTTATAAATGCTGATGATTGACGGGTTGCCTTATTCTATTTATCTAGAGAACTTAATGCTACAAAAAGATATGAATTGCGTATCAATCAAAAAAAAATTGTATTTTTAACTGGATCAGTAATTACTTAAAAATTTAATTAAGTTTTGAAATAAGATCGTACCTGATAAAATCTGTTGGTTTGTGTTTTTTAAACAGTAAGGTATGTGTGCAAGTATGTGTGCAAGTACGTATAATATATGCTAAAAATAAATAAAAATTTTGCTTTAAAAACTTTACACACGCGCGCGCACGAAAGCTCATTAAAAAAAAGCAAAAAAAAATTTTTATAAGACCAAAGCAATGTATTTTAGGGTCAAGTAAAGTATATTATTGACATCCAGAAAAATCATCGGATAATTGCTATCTTTAATCGCTTACACAATTCGAGTAATATTTGGCATCATAGTATTTTTATTTTTATTTTATTTTATTGCATGCGTTCTTGTGCAACATGTTAATTTCATTGATTTGATTGATCATTTTTTCTCATAAAATAATAGTTATAATAATTTGACAAAGAAAAGTCCAAAAAAAAATTTTAAAGGTTGAAAATGGTACGTTTAATTTTTTATTTGCGCGATAAAAATTATTAATTTTTTATGTGTGATAAATATTATTAAACCTTCCTATATTTGATTTAATTTTAAAAAGTTTTATTCCGCTTTCATTTAGCTTATTAAGTGTAATTTAGTTTAGCTAATCTTTTCCCCACGGATTTTAATATATTTTTAATAACATCGAGGAAAAAGCTGATAACTAATATTTAACGAGTTGAGCTTAAGGGATTTTTGTTTTGATACCTTTTTTTTAACTTTTTTTTAATATTTTTTTAAATTTTAATAAGTCAGAAAAAAACTACTTTGTTTTGTTGAGTATTGTTAACTATATTTTGTTTGAGGGTATTTTTAATAAAAATTTTATCCCAATCTGGTTCAATATGTAAAATTAAAACAGTTAAAAGACAGGAAATAACTAAATATTTAAATATTACCTTTAACTATATTTAATAATGCACATTTTTAATAGTAGTTGAACATTTTTGAATGTGTATTTAAAATATTACTTAAATTTTATGAAGAAAAATTTAAAAATAAAAAAAATTGAATGTTAAGCATATATTAAAACCCGTACTCGACTAAGAGTACCAACTCAAGCCATAACAGATGAATTGGTATTTGTGACCAAAAAATAGTAATTGCCAAGTGGATTCTCTATTAAAAGATATTATAGATAGTCTCAAAGAAAATTCTTTACCTTGACATTCTCAAACTGGCCGTACAGCTGAGAATATCAACTAACCATTGGAGAATACCAACAAACCACACAGATCGTGGAGTTAGAATAATAGGGTTCTATCTCCCTTTTGTACTTTTAAGAGAATTTAACAAAATTTGTTATACTCTTTTAAATTTTTAAATTTAAAAGTAAAAATTTGTTAAATTCGTTAAGTTGAAAGACCAAAATATCAAATTTGTTAAATTCATTGCTTAGAATACACATTATTTATCATTTATTAAGTAATATAAATTGGTATAAGACAAAATATCGGTAGATGAGAATAATACGGTTCTCCAAATTTTCATGGTAAAAAAATTTAACTTTCTGTTTTTAGTTATAATATTATTTTGTGTCCAAAATTATATAAATTTAATATATTAATCTTTTTATTATTATTTATATAACTTTAAAAATTGTTAGTTTTTGTTTTTTCATTGTCAATTTTAACATCATTTAATAAAGTTGGAATTAACAATTAATTTGTAGTCAAGCAATTTTATACATTATGAAATTAATAATATAAGATTAATTATAAAACCTGAATAGCATAAAGAACATATATTTTATCAATATAAACAATAACAACTGTATAACATTTAAATAACTAAAAATCGAAATTTAAATTCTCACAACGTTAAAAACAGAGATAAAACCTTATTATTCTAACGACACGAGATATCAAACGTTTATATCAAGCAATTATTGAAAAAACCTCCCGTTCAAAACATGATATGATAAAGCCCTATTTAAAATAGTCCATGCAGGCTAAGTAATATTATTACAGGTAGCAAAATTTCATATTCTAATAACATAGATGAATCGTAGTTTTGTTTAAAGTTGTTAACAAGTTCGACACAAGTCAGCTATTGTTAGTTGTGTCGGTGACGGTCAAAAAAATCTTATACAAAAATCTTGAATGTAATACTTTGTAATGAAAATGATATACACCATATTGAAAATGATTATAGACCTTGTATATACAGTAGGCAAAAAAATAAATAATACAATTTTTTTTTTTTTTTATTCGAATAAAATAATTAAAAAACGGTAGTTAATTTTTGTTTTTTAAGGGAATAAACTATCAATTATTTGAAAATAGAATTATATTGAAGTATTGTATTTAAAAATTGTTAAATATAAGTTCATATGACGTAGAAAAATAAGCTGTACTTATATTCATCATATATTTTCTTGCAAAAAAAAAATAATGGCTCGAATAAAAATTTTGTTTACATTAAAACGTCACATTACAATTGTAAGCAGTAAATATGGTGTTACAATTATATGCAGTAAATATGGTGTTACAATTATATGCAGTAAATATGGTGTTACAATTATATGCAGTAAATATGGTGTTACAATTATATGCAGTAAATATGGTGTTACAATTATATGCAGTAAATATGGTGTTACAATTAAAAAAATTCCAATATCAGTATAATCAAAATAGGAAAAACACTCACAAGTTAAAATGTCTATATACGAATTAGCGTTCATTGTTAATTCAATGAAAGTCAATTTTCCAGCTCCTGGCGACGCCATTGATCCCCACACCATGTCATTTCCACCACCACGTTTTACTGTCCCTCTCAAGCAACTCAATTTATATGCCTCGCCTTGTTTCCACCAAACTTTTTGTGTCCATCTGATGAGATCAGTATAAGTTTGGATCACTCCAAATTATTTTCTTCTAGTTCTCAGTTCTCAGTTCTTCTAGTCTTGTCAACATACTTTTTTTGCAAATAATATGTCTTAAAATCAAATAGGGTTAATTGTAGTTATTGTATAATTAATTAAACCTAGCGCGAGATAAGGAAAAATTGCAACCTTTCTGCAACCTTTCTGACACCCCAAATTTCAATTTCTTAAGTTGGTCAAAAATATTCAAATAGTCATTTACAATGGTTGGCGACGACAAGATTTTTGCTTCGGATAAAGTTAAACTACTTGGGGTTACAATTGATAAGGACTTAAAGTTTGGTGATCACATTAAAGCTCTATGCGGAAAAGCTAATAGTAAGTGTTTGTTCTTTCTCGAATAAGAAGTTTCCTATCTTATAAACAAGCAACTCTATTATTTAAAGTTTATATTTTATCAAATTTTTTATATTGTTCTTTGATTCTTTGCTCAAAATACAATGATAACCTTATTAATAAAGCTCTTAAAAAAGCACTCCACATAGTTCGTAAAAGATTTTTTATTTGTCTTTGGATGAAATGTTAAAATTAGATAATAACCCAAGAATCCATCTTCGAAATTTGCGATGATTGAATGATTGAAGTTTTTAAATCCCTTAATGCTTTAAACCCTGAATTTATGAAGGACTTGTTTATAAAAAAAACTTTACCATTTAAACTTAGGTGTTGCAATAAATTGATGCTACCGCCCAAAGGCTCTATCATAAAAATACAAATAATGTCTAATATAGAGCCACCTCGCTCTGGAATTCCCTTGACAATAAAACCATGTGCTCAAAAAGTTTTCAGGTGTTCAAAAATAATATTTTACATTGGAATGGGGAAAAATGTTTTTAGAATGTTTGTAGAATTTGTAAAACTTAAATTTATGTATTATAATCACTAATCATGTCATTTGTACGATTTTATAAACTTAATTGTTCTTTTTGCGGTATTTGCGAAGTTATTTTTTCTTTTTACGATATTTATAAAAGTCATTTTTTTTTCTGTTTAGTATCTTTAATGCATGATATTTTATTTAAATACGTTGTTATGCGAGTTGTTACTGATTTTTTATGGATATTTTTACGATATTTTTGTATATATGTAGAAATCGTTCATTAAGTTATACATCTTTTTTTACAACCATTTGTCCGTTGTCACGGAGTCTTTTGATTTATTTTTTATTCTCTTACAGACTAGCTAGGACTCTGAAGTTTTCAGCATTTGAGGAAATGAAAATGCATTTTAAAATTGTTTCCAAGAGTGAAAACAACAGGAGGGTCGGGAAAAACATGTTTCTTTCCGCGCCCTGTTTGTCAGTTATCTTAAAATAGCGCCTCTGATTTTTCACAACCTTTTAAACTAGCTAGCTGAAATTTTCATTATTTATATAATTCTGATGAGTGCATGTTAAAGTTGTTTAAAGGCCTGATGATATCCCAGAGCTTGTGAACACGTACCCTTCCCTTTACCTGCCTTTTTTTTCTACAACAGTTTATTTTTAGAAAGAAAAACTTTTTAGAAAAAGCGTAATAGCTCTAATAAAAATAAAAAAAGCTCCATTTGCACTGTTCGGTAACTCGTAAGTTATTTACTATTTTAAAATGACGTTTATTAATAATTTTCTCTATTAGATAGCGTCACTAGTTATAGTAAAAAAATGCAACTCTCATGATTGGCATTAAGCAATTGCACTAAACAATACATAATGTTATAAAATACGTAAGATAATCCCAAAAATATGCATGGTAATCCCACAGAATGCCACATTTTTACTTAGTTACATGAAAATTTATTAAATTAAACACTTTTATAGCGTAAATTAATGTATGATGCGTTATTAATGCATGATATTGGAAATTAGATTCCAAATTTTATATGCAGAGAAAGTTTTGAAAAAATATCTTTAAAAATGATATACTATCTTTATACAATTATAAAGAAGAGAAAACCCGACGGGCATTTGTTTTTAAAAGTTACGTTCTAAATGTATTTTAAATGTCTTTTAAACGTTTTTTTGCGTAAGAATGTTTAAAAGACGTTTAAAAGACATTTAAAATACATTTAGAACGTAACTTTTAAAAACAAATGCCCGTCGGGAATGAACTACAAATAAAGATATTGTTAAAATATCAGAACTAGAGAACACGCAAACTCGAAGAAAGTCCTAGGTCTTGTTACTGAGAACTACAAGAGTAGAGCATTGATAGGTTTAATGTTTCTAACGTTGTTCAGAAGTCTTAATGTTTTAATGAATAACTTTGATTTTATATATATATATATATATTTCATTTTACACCCTGTTTCATCAACAAAAACTCATCAGAAATCCTGATTAATTTCTGATGAGTTTTCGTTGATGAAACAGTGTAAAAAAAATTTTGTTAAGTGATTTTCTACTAATTTATATATATATATATATATATATATATATATATATATATATATATATATATATATATATATAATATATATATATATATATATAGTTATACATATATATACTCTTTTTAACGCCTAGGGTCAAAATTTTACCAGCGCTCCATTATATCTAATTTACCCAATAAGTTTGATTACCGATCCAAACGCTGAAAGAATTAAACTTTCCCGAGACCGAAATGATTTCTTTTACTTGGAAAAACTGGACAAAACTGAAAGAAAAACTGAACAAAAACAAATAAATTTAAAAATAGACAAACTGACATTACTATATTGCTAGTATCAGTTTTATGGTAGGATTATGGTATGGTAGATTAGAAATAGATTATCCGATTTTTATTGATTGCAAAATTTCCTATATAATTTTTTTTAGTACAGAGATTTTGTGAGATTGTACTCACTAGTAGATTAGTAAGCCTGTCTTAAGTCATTGAAGATCTTAGCATTGTCTTGACGAGAAACAACCGCTCTTCTTCAGTGATGGAAACCGGAATCGTGTTAAAAAATGCGTAACAAATAACGTATTAATTCGAATAGAAAATGTAGATCTTTCTAATAGATCTTATTCTTAGCTAGCCATATAATAATCCATAGTTTCATTGAAGCTATTGGTTTTATTGAGAATTAAAATGTTTATTGCTGAAAGAGATTTGAACCAAAAGGTTGTCTTAATGATGAACTCGAATGACTAACGATTTCATTTCATTCACTCGTTAATCAGTTAGAGCAAGATCACAAAGGTTCTTCCAATATATAAGGACATCCATAGGTCGCTTGACCAACGGCATTACAACTTGGTGTGTGCACTCCGTTGGATTTGCGAGGTATGATGAAGAAACATACCAGTTTTTTCAGCCAAGACTTTTCATTGAATATATATATACACACGCACGTGTTTTAATGATGTATTTTTGAGTATTATGAAAAATTGCCGACTGAAAGTACAAACTGGACCCTATTTGCCGACTAGAACTATAAAAATTCATTAAATGGGTCAAACACTACCATACCCCCCTTTCGCGCAGGTCTTATGTGTGTTGTAATATACTTTTTGCGTGATATATACAATTAATATATATAATTATACAAAAAATTGTGTATATTTTTATAATTAATTATAAAAATATATATTACTTTTTATAATTTTTTAGAATGGAAATTCAAGATTGTATTTTTTTCTTAAATATTTTGCGGAAGACAAGTAGAGAGCTTTAATCAGTCGTTTTACATCGTGTAATTAACAATCTTTAAATGGTTGAGAATTTAGATTTTTTGGTATTAAACGTCATTTTAGATTTGCTTAAAAAAAATTACTAAAGCAGGGAGCTTTTCGATCCTACATTTCGTTGATTCCTACAACTGTTTACTATCTGCGTTAAATTTTAACTTAATATTATTTAGAGGGTCATTATCCACACACTAAAATAGATAAACACAAACAAATAGGAAAATTTGAAATTTTTATAATAACCAATTTATTTTGCCCAAGCATTCTTTAAAGAAACATTTCGATGTCCATTAGTCGAGTTAAAGTAATTTTTCTTTTTTGAGGCAGTAGGTAACGCGGGAAAACTTTCTTGATGAGATTCCATATGTGAAAGGGCTTGAGGGATAAAAGTACCACAATCCGGATTCTCAATGATCGGTTCTATCTTTGGATTTTGTTTAGATTTCCATTGATTTTTGCTTGTATAATCAGCGCTTGATTCTGGCTTTGACTGTTGCGATATAATATTATTGTTATGGACTAGAAAAAGTTCTTGCTGCTTGTCTTCGTCAGGTAGCAAGGCTACTAATTCGGAAAAAACGTACTTAATATTATCCCCTAACAGATGCGATATTTCACGGTAGTATTTTTCAGGAGTGATAAGACCACGTCGAAAATCACCTGAGAGATCTTTAAAAACACCTAAATTAAAATCGTCTAAATACATTTTAAGCATGGCTAACAAATTAAGATTTCTCTCTTTTTTAATTTCATTTGGATCAATAGGAGATTTTATAGATAAACCAGGAGGCATAGATTTGGTTTCAACAATGTTTTTAGAAACATCAAGACCAGGCGGATTTCTTCTTGAAGTATTTATGGTACTTTTTAAAACGTTATTACTGATCTGTTTTGATTCACATAAACCAGGCGGACACTTTTTTTTTAAATTATTTACATTTTCTGTTTTAACCGTCTTTATGGATTTTTTTGGGTTTTGGGTTTCTGAAAGAGGAGTGAGATCAACAGTCAGCGTACTTAACGACGGAAAATCTTCATTAATCGTATTCACTTCATCTTTTTGTTTAGACCATTTACCAGCTGATTTTTTCTTACACTTGACGGTTTTAACTAAAAGGGATGCATGTGGAGCAGTGAATTTACTAGCTGAAACAACTTCATTGTTAAGTTTAATTGAAGAAGTAAGTGCTGGAAAAGCTTCGTCGTGTTTCTCTTTAAGACTCTTTGCAGGTTGGAACGGCACGTGTGAAGAACCTGGCAAGGAAGGGAAATCAGATTCAGCTCTCAAGGAATTGTCGCCAATACTACTATCGGAATATTTCTCAATTTTCTCTTTAACTATTGGTGCAGGCTCAACAAAATCTTTTGCATTGTTTGTTTGACTCGCCTCAACTATTTGTTTATTTATATGCTCTGACATTCCAATAACTCCGTCATTATCTTGATAATAGTCACGCTTAGTATTGTTCTCAGAACTAAGAGTTGATCTAAAGAAAAAAAAACTTTAGTTAAGAGAGAAAGAAAGAAACAAACGAAAAAATATTAAAGAAAATCTAAGAAAAAACCTAAGCTTTTAATTTAAATGTTATTTTTCAAGGGACGTGTTCATTTCTCAGTTTAGCTCAACAAAACTCTAACCAAGAATTTAATTAAAACTTATTTAATTGAATAAATTTATAAAATATTATTGTGTTAAAAAACAATAACTCAAATCTACCCAAACTTTTAACGATAGTTAAAAGTTTGGGTAAATACTGGTTCACACTTCCTTGCTATTCTTACTTATTTGATCAGTTGTGAAACAATAATATAATTTGAATGAGAATTTTAAGCAATTCTATTTTGTGCAAATTTTTAGAAGCCTCGTGTTAAATGAGACCATTAGTTAAAGTTTTAAGAAACTGTTTATCTATTATGTGCTCATTTCTTTGCAAAGATTTCTTAACGCAAAAACTCTTGAGCAACATCACCCAAAGTTGTAATATTGCTTGAATATTACTGAGAGAAAATTGATAAGTTCTAAACTATTCAAACCCTCAAAATTAAGCAAGATCGCTTCCTTTTCCAGTTAAACTTCAGTTAATCTGTTTCTGTAAACTAGTTTTATAGTCTTCTCTCATGTTCTTTGGTAAGCTTTAAAATTTTTGATGTTACTGGAAGCAATAAGTCTAATTTGCTTTTTTGTAAGTATTAAGGTAAAAGCTTTTGTAAGGTAATTAAAAAGCTTTTGCTAATAGCTCAATCCAACACACTAAAACAAATTTCTGAAGAGATACTAAAATTCCCTTTGCTTTTGTTAAGTACACTGCTTTAAATTATTTTTATTTAGCCTCCTTATTACCTTATTACTTTACTTCTAGGCTACTACCAGTGCTGAAAAGTTATGCAATAGAAAACCAAATTTTTTTTTTCAAGATAACTTGTTTCACTAATACTGTTCTTGTCATTTCAATTATCCTCGTGACTCTCAGAGAGGAAGTAAACTCAAAAGATATTGGTCAGTGACTTTCAGAGAGGAAGTACCTCATTAGTGACTCTCAGAGAAGAAGTAAACTCAGAATATATGTCAGAGAGTGATAATGAAGCATTAATAATATCTTTACCATTCAGAATTTCTATAGTAGTTATGAAAAAAGTTTAAAGACTGTCGTAGCTTTTTCATGCAACTTTCTATGTCATTTTTTTATATTGGTTTCCAGACTATTTCTATTTATTAGATGACAAAATATTTTATGTAGAACTTAAAAAATTGTTGGAAAAAAACATAAACATGAGATTTACCTTTCAGCAGCTACTAAAATGTCAGAGTATTTTTAAAATTATGAAATAGCAATATAATAAATTACTTCATTTTTATTACCTTACAACTAATTTTTGATAATTATGGACAGATTTTAATATTTTTCACAGCAAATTCAAAATCATTATGTTTCAAGTTTTAAGAGTGTAGCTCATTTTTGATGCAAGCAGCAGATAGCTCAATAAACAATTTATGCTTTAAAAACCAGTTGTATTAGAATTAGAAATTAATTCTAATACAACTGTCTAATAAAACTGTTTTAAAATCTTTCCTAAAACAATACACCAAATTAGAAAGCCAGATATTGTCAGAGATTTTTTATAAAGGCAGCTAAAGCCCAGCTAAAGTTTTTTTATTGTATAATCAAATTAAGTATATGCACATTTAGCTTATTTTAATAAGGCGTTAACTTCAGACGCAGAATGTTCTTGGTTCGAAACCCACCTCTTGTTTTGCTTTTTTACACCTCTTCGCTTTGGGGATAAAAAATGTACAGGAAAATAAAAGTAATATGAAACAATTAAGGCTATGTAAAAAAAAAATATATATATATATATATATATATATATATATATATATATATATATATATATATATATATATACAGTATTGGCCAAAAGTTGGAACCCACCTCTAAATAATACACAAAAACACAAAATATACAGCACAAATAGATTAAAAGTAAGAGTCAAGCAATTTTTCTAACAATCAATCAATAGTATAACAATATAAACAAATTACAAATAAACAATGCAAAAAATTTTCAGTTTTGGCCAAAAATTTGAGGTGGATTCAAACTTTTGGCCAAAACTGTATATATATATATATATATATATATATATATATATATATATATATATATATATATATATATATATATATATATATATATATATATATATATATATATATATATATATATATATATATATATATATATATATACATATATATATATATATATATATATATATATATATATATATATATATATATATATATATATATATATTGTAGACATCATGTATGAGTGTATATAAATTATTATTTTATAAACATCAATAAATATGATTTTCTCTTGATACTAAATTTATTTTTTAAAGAAATTTTCGCATGATTGTTGTGACAAGTGTCTTCAGGTTAAAAGCTTTTTGTTTGATTTTATTTATATGTTATTTTTAAAAACGAAATTCTATTTTATGTCAATGGGATAGTTTCATCTGAAAAAGACGAAACATTTATTGTATTTATTGATGTTTATAAAATAATGATAATAACAATAATAATAATAATTATATATATATATATATATATACATATATATATATATATATATATATATATATATATATATATATATATATATCAGGGATACGGGGTCCGGAGTCAGAGTCCCTATTTTAGCCTGGAGTCCGGAACCTCGGGAGTCCATAAAAATTTTAGAATTCCGGAACTCTTTTTTTTTTTTATAGTATATGCTTAAGAAATACCTTATAGTCATGTCACAAAACACTCTAAAAGAGCATTTGACCGGAAAGCTCATCTCCTTCCTTACCAATTTGAACCAAGACTCAGATTGAGTATCGACTTGAATATTACTCCTTTTTAAGAGGCGTTACAAAGCTCCTTGTTACTTGTTGTTAAGAGGTGTTACTAAGCAAAACATGCAAAAAGGCCATATGCTTACTCGTTCAGCAATTTAACGGTAAGAGAAAGCTTTTATCTTTGAGAATATTAAAACTAAACTTTACTTCCACTTAAATACTTTTTATAAAATATTCATCATATATATATCATCGTTAGAATTTTTGATGTAATTCATTTCACTTTTTTAGAATATTTTTCACTTAGCGCGTTTTTAAAACATTTTTTGAATTAGCCGCGGTCAAACCATCATAGTAAAATGTAATTTGCGTGGTCATACAAAGACATGAAATCGCAGGCCTTCTTGCAAAAGCCTGCATACATACATACATACATACATACATACATACATACATACATACATATATGTATATATGTGTATATATATATATATATATATATATATATATATATATATATATATATATATATATATATATATATATATATATATATATATATATGTGTGTGTTGTGTGTGTCAGTGACGGACCCAGAAAAAAAAAAAAAAGGTCCTCAATTAAATAAATAAGTTTTCAAGTTTAGCAAACTTTGAAATGGATATCTTCCTAAGAGCCTCTAAACTTAATTTTTTTTTTTTTTTTTTTGATATAAGAAATTAAAGTAGCTTACCTATGAAAACAATTTTGGCAAAATTGGTATTGAATCATTGTTTGATAAAATCAAGGGACTTGTAATTAATACTGCTAGTCTATCAATCAGAACTCTCTTGCTAAATTTTTCTTTTATGTGCTCTAATATTTTTCCATCAAAATAAAGCACATACTCAATTTACAACATAAATAGGTCTTAGGACAATTTAAAAACTTGATCAATCAACATTTTAAAACAGAATATTTTATTATACAGTCTAAAAACTTAAATATTAAAACAGTCTTAATTTAGGTCCATCAACCAAAGTTCATAACTCAAATCTAAATCATAATTAAGAACTTTTTTTGTTGCTTTTGAGATGTATTTTGTTTCATTTAAAGTGTTTTCTCATTACAAACAGTTTCGCTTTTTCCATGAACTTCTTTAGTATGCTTACTTCAAAAACAACATAGTCCTAAAAATCACAGGAGGCCCAGAATTTGAATTTATTTATTCATAAATCGAAATTTAACAAGCAAAACAATCATATAAAAATAAAGTTAAAGTTGTAAACTCTGATGAAGAGGTGCAACACTAGACACCACTATGATGACATAATTGGAGACACACAGTGTGTCTTGGTTAGCTTTGAAAGCATGTCAAATTGACATTTAAAAATGTTGGTTGAGTTTGCATTGACTACGTTCATAAAAAAATTGTCCCATTCAGGTTTTAACAATTGCCGTGTTAGTCGTTATATACACGCAGATTATACTTTGGATAGTGATTGCACATATACTTGTGGAACTACTAAGCCAACTTTTTCTATTCTGTTTATAATTTTATAGTGCTGAATCAGATTGCTTCTTTCTTTATCTCTCTTCTAGAGTGGTAAGATTAGATATGGCCAGTCTATCCTCATAATTTTTATGCTTTATCTTGCTTATTATTTTGGTTGTTCGCTGTTTAATGCGTTTAAGAGCTTTTATGTCACTTTTTAGGTGAGAAGACTAGGCTTGGATAGCATACTCAAGATAAGGTTTAATGTATGTTGCACAGAGTACCCTCCATAACATTATCCCTCTAGAAAAACATGAGCTACTTTTAGACCATTAAACTGCATGTTCTGATTTGATGACCCCTAAAATCTTAATGTCATCGACATAAATCTATACATGATGCACCATATTGTTTTAGAAGGTTTACAATACTTGAAAATATTTACGATACTTCTGAGCAAACAGTATTCTTCTATCACAGCTATGCAAAGTTTATCATCCACATTTATCATGTCTTTTGTGTACAAGCGAAACGATTAACATAAATCTTTTAGTCTTAGAAAAAGCATTTGATAGAATTATATCTGATAACATAACAATTTGTAGGCAAATGCTTGCTAGGTAAAACTTAGTGGAGTTTAAAGAAAGTAGACAGGCCTTCTTGGATTGTAATTGATAAGTGTTACAGTTCTGTTTTCAACTTTTGCTCTTCCCATAGATAGTCGACTCAAAAAAGCTGGTTGGAAAGTCAACTAATAGCATAAAATATTGCAAAAGCCATAAACTTGTTACTCAAATAAAACTATTCAGTGTAACGAGCATTGGATTCACCAAAAACAATAATATTTGCATATGAATAAAGATGTAAAGTTGGATCAATTTTATCAATAATAAAACAAAGACAAACCGCAAATAAACATCGAAGAAAAAACAGAAAGAGATAAGAAAAGAGTGAAACTACATAAAAAATAATCAGAAAATTCAAAAAAGATTTCATCACAAATATATGCATTGATAGGTAATCATTATAAAATTTGTACATTTTTTTATTATAGTTGATATTTTGTTGTTGTTTTGTTGTTGTTAATTTTTATTGTATATATATAGTAGGAATTATGTTAATATTTTCAGTAAGAGTGCTTAATACAGCGTATTATAAAATTAGTCGAGCAAATATAGTGAAAACTAAATAATTATTAAGATATATTTTAATTACATAACTTAAAGTTTCATGCAATCGCGATCATCAGATGTAACAACAACAAAAAAGTAACAACAAAACAACATTACATTTAAAGCGGTTTTTGATCTAAGTACAAATTCAAAAAAATCTGAGAAAGTTGTTTTTGACCATTTTAAGTGCATAATGTAAAAATTGCTTTTAAATATATTTGTCATTTTTTTTATTTGTTTTTAATTTTTGTTAATACAAAGCTTAAATATTCTATGTAATAAATGAACTAATAAAAAGAATATTTTCTGCATACAATTTTAGAAAACTAATTAAATATTGCATTCCCTGTATGCTTTGAAGTCAATAAGTATTTATTATTTAATTGTGTATATCCTTCTTTATAGTTTATACTTTATATAGATTCTAATGATATGAGTTCAAAGAAAGTTCTAATGAAGTCCAAACACCTAAAATAAATAAATAAAAACAAACATATGCTGCCATTATTGATCAAAATGCTATTACCAGAAACGGCCTTTAAGCAGCAACAACACCTTTAAGTGTAAGAAAAGGGATGAGTTACAGAAATCAATGAAAATAAAACATTTATTTTCATTGATTTCTTTATTGTTTATTAAGGTAAAGTTATTTAAGGTTCAGTTATATACCAATTATAAATTATTTATATCTTAAAAGATCTTGAATCTTAGAATAACTTTTTTCTTGATATATCAAAAACTTAAATGTCATAAATGATTGTGCAGAAAGAAATATTGGAATAATCCAATTTGCTGGCTCATCTCAAAATGAAGAACAAAAACTATCCTATTAGTAGTCAGATAATATTGAAAAAAATATCTACAAATATTTCCCAGAATGAATTAAGCCATCTTTATTAACTATAAATAAAATACTAAGAAAATGTTTTTATTTCATATACTATTGTTTTTGAAATTATAACCTAAAAAACTGTTAAAAATGTGTTATTTGCATAAAAAATGTGTTATTTGCATAAAAAATGTGTTATTTGCATAAAAAATGTGTTATTTGCATAAAACCCAAATTCTATAAAAAACTCTTCCTCTTAGACTTTTAAGCTGAAATTTTTTTTTTTTGTGAACATCTAAAAGAGCATAAAACAGCTTTTCACATAGTGGCATTTTAAATATATATTAATAGTTTAAAACTTTCATTTTTTTGTTTTAATTTGAATTATTTTATTTAAATTTTATTTTGTTCAGCATTTAAATAAAAAGGTTTTTTGCTGTTAATATTTTGATTAGTTTAATAAAAAGTTTAACAAAAAGTTTATTTTGTCGTTTTCATTTTAACAATTTTATTTAAAACTTAAATAAAATGTTTGTTTCACTCTTTTTTAATTTATTTAAAATAGCAAATAAAATTAAGTTTTTAAAATCTGAGGTCATCAAAAAAATTGCAAACCTCAGAAACTGTCAGATCGGCAGATAGGTCTACATTGCCGAATGCTGACCCTAATTCTAAATATATATATATATATATATATATATATATATATATATATATATATATATATATATATATATATATATATATATATATATATATATATATATATATATATATATATATATATATATATATATCAAAGACTATATAAAAAAAAAAAAGCAAAAAATTTATTGGCAAGAAAAAACCACCTATTTTCCAAACTTTGGATATTTTCTTTTTGATTAGTTCGAACATCTAATTTTCTTCTTTCTTTTACAACATAATCATAGTCTTTTCCATTGATTTCAAATGAACTTGAAGAATTAAAACTTGAAGCATTATTTTGCAGTAAATTTGGTGCGCCCATTCTGTTTTTTTTATTTTCTACAGGGTTTATATCTTCATAATCAGCTGCATTCACAAGATTAGACTGGGGTTGACGTCTTTCGTATCTATGAAAAAAAATATGTAATATGAATTCATAAAGGCAATACTTATAAAAGATAATTATAATTAAAAAAAGCAAATAATAAAATGGTATAAACAAATGAGATACAATAAAAGTACATACAATAGTATAAGAAAAATAACCAAAATACTAAAAAAAATAGTAATATCAAAGAAACCAATACCAATCTGATATTGTTGTACCAACATCACATCAACAACAACAACTACATGATGAACATAAACACTGACAACAATGACAAAAAAAAAAAAAAGAAAGCAACTAACATAATAAGAAAACTTGTTAAAAACTGTTAAGATCATAAAAAAAAGAAAAAAAATTAAAATCAGTATATCAGTATAAATCAGTATAGAAATACAAAATCATCTACCGTATATCGATTTCAACTTTTCTTGCTTCTTTAGCTTCTAACTTATTCATCTTCTTAACGTGTTGTGCTAATTTGTGTGCTTGAAAATCAATTTTATCCCTGAATACGGATGTATATTTTTCATTAACACAATTACCTAAATACAAACTTGTAAAAAAATATTGCATACAAAGCATTTTCCAGGAGTACTTTAATTTATAAAAAAAGATTTTCGTAAAAACTTTAATTGATAAAAATAAAAGCAAATGTTACCATCTTCACATAAATAATGCTTGTTTGCAAAATGTTGTCGCAAATCATCATACACATCATAGTAGTCTTGTCTTCCATCATGTTCACAAAAATGACACCAAAAATGATTTTTACGCAAATGAAATAACAAAAGGTCATTGTCAAAATATCTTTCAGAACAAAAGCGACATTCTGGATGACCTCGATGAGATTTTTCATCTTCATCTCCTTCTTTTCTATGTTTTACTAAATCTTTTTTAGAGTAAATTTTCAGCTCATGTGGAAAAACTGTAAGATTTTCAACACATATATCACACATCTGTTTTTCGTGAGCTTTACGTAAATGAGATTTTAAATCATGAAGTGTTAAAAATATATTATTCTTGTTATTACAAAGAACACAAATATTTGCAATTAGATGTTGGAATTCACTTTGAATAAGCTTGTCTTCAAATCGGATTCCATATTTACGATTTCCAGGTAAGTTATGAAGTGAAAAAGAACTAAACTTTTTTATCGATTTACAAAACACAACCTTAAAAAAAAGTTCAACTGAATAAAAATATTTTGCTTCATATATATATATATATATATATATATATATATATATATATATATATATATATATATATATATATATATATATATATATATATATATATATATATATATATATATATATATATATATATATATATATATATATATATATATATATATATATATATATATATATATATATATTGTGAACAAAACATTGCAGTATTTTACTACAATAAGCAATTTTTCAAAACTAATACAATTAATTTAAAAATACAAACCTCTTCAGTCTATTTGCAGAAGGTTTGTTAGTGTGTGTGTGTTGGGAGGAGGGGGGGAAGGAAGGGAGGGAGAGGAGGCCGGGGAAAAGAAGGGAGTTTGCATTAATACCATAGAGGCCTGTTAGCACACGTCTGTACTTTCAGGTATTGTAAACACATATATAGGGGCCTGAGGCTGGGGGCCAATAATATTCTAAAGTTATTTTGTTTAATAATTGCAAACGACATCTTTACTAATTTTTAATTAAAGTAAATTTTTAATTAAAGTTTATAAATACAAAAAATGCCTAAAAAATGTTGTGTCAAAGTGAAATTATAATTACAATAAGGAAAATAAAGAAAAAGTTTTCCCGCTTTCTTATGACAAAGAATAATATAATTGTTGAGTAAATGCTATACCACAAGAAAATATATCTGACAATTCAGATACTGTTGTTTGTGAAAGACACTTTCCATCTGGATGTCTAGCAGTAAGCAAATTTGGACACAAAACCCCTCATGATCCTCCATCAGTTTTTACATGAGTCAAACCTAGTTTAATACTTATTCTCCCACCGCTAATAAGAACTACTTATGAAGCATCTTCATCTGTTCGAATTATTATGCTCAATCAACCTAATATATTTTTAGCTGCTGATAAAACTACATCCTTTAGTTCATTACATCAAAAATTACAAAATAAACAAACTAATTTTGGTGTAGTTAATGTAACTTGATATTTAGCTGGTGAACAGTTACTAATTATTAAGACTTTGAAGAAAATTCTTCGATTGTAAAATTTATGCTTAAAATCAAGAATGATTTTATTTTTGAGGGATACTTTTGTGAGATTTAACATAAAATTGAATCTCTAAAAAAATCCTTTACTAAAATAAAATTTTTAGTAAAGGATTTTTATCAATTCTTGCTCAAAATTACAAAAAGCTAATTATTTTTTAAACAACTTAACAAAATCCAATAAAATAGTAAATCTATTGTAACACATACATGATGAGTTCTATTACAGTTTGAAAAAAAAAATACACCACAGAAACTATTGTACGAGCATTTGAATACTTTGCAATTATAAGCTTGTTATATGGAAGTTTAAGGGAAGATTATGAACTTCCAAGTATTTATATCTAAAGAAAGCTACTTCAAAACTGGATTCTGAAAAATTCTAAAGTATTTAAGCTAAATTTTTTTTAAACTTAAAAATAAAATTCATAAAAAGTGTTTGCTGTTGATTGACAAACTTTAAAAAGAAGTAAATAAACCTGAGTCTTTAGCAACTACTGTTTCAAATTTTATGTTAGTGTCACTTTATAAAGGACCTCAATACCTTTGCAGAATTTTACCAGTTTGTGAGCTTGATTCTAAATATCTGTTTGAACAAACTCAATTTGTTTTAGAGGGAATAAAGAGAGTTGGAGGGATACCGGTTGTCATAATGTGATAATAATTGTGACAAAAATCAAGCACTATTTATGTGTTGAGCCATGGTTGACCTAAGACAATATGTTTTGTTATATGACTTTATGCATCTACTTAAATCTGTTTGTAATAACTGGATCACAGGAAAAAGCCAAAAGTTACATTATAAACATAATAAGGAAACTATATATGCATGTTGCTCTAACATCTTAAGTTTATTCAGACTTTAAGAAAATAATATTGTAAAATTGCCCCAACTTACTTAAGTGTCTGATGCACCAAAATCTATTGAAAGATAAAAGTTGTCTACTTGCCTACAAGTCTTTTGTGATGAAACAGTTGCTGCTTTAAAAAGAAGCAGACAACACCATAACTTTTATTGGAACATTTGTAAGGTTCTGGAAAATTGTCTAAACAAAAGGATTGTATGTTGATATTCTATATAAAGATCCAGATAGAGCAGTTATATCAACTTAAGAAGATGCTAGACTACCATTTTTACTAGTCTTGGCAAAACAAATGACTAACAAACTAGGCAGCAGAAAATATCAGTTAAATAGAGATACAGGTACAGCCTTAGCTTATACGGGTGGTAGTTTAGTAGCTATTACAAAGTTTTTGTTGTAGAGTTCTTTTAGGTATGTAATACTGGGAAAATCCACAACTGACCCACTAGAAAAATTCTTAGCAAAACTCTGGCAAGGATCTGGAGGCATATATTTCATCAATATGCAACAAGTCATTAAAAAAGTAAGAATTCAACAATCCAAAGAAAGTCTCCATATCGGTATAGACATTCATTTTTTATTTGCAGAAAGTGAGCATAACTGCCAGAAATACTTTCTTGGCAGTAAAGCTATTGATATATTTGACAATTTTCCTCAGCTAGAAAAGTGTGTGCAAATAGATGCAAAAGCAGGATTAGTATATATATAGCTGGATATATTAAATGAAACAAAGTTGAAGAGCAAGAAGAAGCTAAATTTTATTATGAATTTGATTTGACGATCATACTGCTAAAATTAATTGAGGAGGTTTGAAAATACCAAATGACAATGTTTGCTGGTGGACCATTTTTTCTTTTATTTTGTTTCATGAAATTTTTAATGTTTGTTAATAAAGTCACTCTATGGAAAAGAAACATGCTATTTCACTTTCAAACATTTTTTTAAAAAAAACTATGTTAATTTTAATGCACCAAGATCATCCAAAAAGTCACAACAAAAGATTTTGATTCTTTCAAAGTAAATCTATTGTGTGTGTATTTACTTATGAAAACTCTTATATCACTTATATTTTCTATTTGTTTTGTGATTTGGGTAAAAAATTTAGCATTGATTGTGTGATTTTGTAAAAGATTTTGTATCTGATAGCTGAGCAATGTTTTTTCAAGTTTTGTTTTTATAGACAAAGTTTTATAAGGAATTATAAAAAGTTTTATAAGGAAATTTTTTCTTTATTATAAGTTTGTTATGAATAAATAGGTTTTAGTTATTAAGCACTCTCGAGTCCTTAATAGAAAGGATGGGGGGTAATATATGGGGGAGATGAAAATTTCAGCCCAAATTTAATAAACGGGGTCGAGGGTGGGGATTTTAATAAAGGAAGGGGGGAATTTTGTGGTAATTTGCCCATTTTCTAACAGCTGTTTTATAATAATTTCAATAGGATTTAATATGTTAATATAAGTTTTATACTTTGGTGAGAAATAAATTAAAAGCTCATTTCTGATAAATCAAGCTGTGTGTATGCGGTTTTTAAAGCCTGTTTACATGGAAAAATTTTGTTTTTATTAATGACTGAAATAATTATTTTTAACTTTGTAAGGTTAATTCTCACTGTTTTTTTTTTTTTTAATAACAAGTAAAAATTAATAATCGTCTTAATAAGCTTGGGATGGGTGGGAAAACTTTTAAAAAATTAATAAATGAAAAATAGCGATAAATGATATTTGATTATTTTTTTAATCTTGATCTTTTTAATTTTTTTTAGACAAATCAATAGCAATATTTTTATAAGTCAACTATTATTTGCTGATATAATCTAAAATTAGAAGGAAAAAGCGATTTTTAGAAAAGAAACTTTATTTAATAAAAATTAGTTGTCATTCTAGTTAATAAAAACTTAAGACAGCCAACAGCAAAAAAACTTTAAATGATAGCAATTAAACTTACTTGACTCATATCAGCGCGACAGGTTGAGCAATATATCTGCTTTGATAAAACTCTCATTCTTGCAGAACATTTATAACATACTGGATGGTCACATGGACCAATGGCAACAAATTTTATATTTTCACAACATACAGTGCAAAGGTTATCTTCACTTACAGTGTCAACAAGTTCAGAGTTATCAGGGGATGTAACATTTATATCAGATGACATCTTAAAACACAATACTAAAAAAACATACTAAATATGGTTAAAATTAATTATATTTTTAAAAAATGTTGAAAAAGTTTCTACAAGTATAAAAAAATATACTATATTAAACAAAATCTAATGTTATCAGCGGAAAAACACGATAAAATATATATATATATATATATATATATATATATATATATATATATATATATATATATATATATATATATATATATATATATATATATATTAAAAAAATGGTTCATGTTTTTACAGAAGTGGTAACTTTGTTTTCATTTCAGTGGTAGCATTATCAATGCTACATTGATATAGACTGACGACATTACTCCTTTAAACAAATTTTTGAAGCTATTTACTATTGCATTTTATTCACAACTTAGTTTTAATTATATTTTAGTAATAAAATTATCAATACAATCTTGCTATAGACTGATGGCATGACTCCTTTAAATAAATTTTTGAAGCTATTTACTATTGTATTTTATCCACAATTCAATTTCATACTGTTCAAAACAAATATGCTTAGCTTTGAACTGTTTTTAGCTCATTATGTTTTGAAAAAATTGAGTTGATTTATTATTGTAAACTAATTTAAATATCTTATAAAAACCATTATATTCGTAAAACTCTAAAACAGTAAATTTTATAAACGATGTTGATAATCTCCTGTTAGACAACGATTATACATAACGTCATCGCAAACAAATTACGACACACAACGAGTTACACGAAGTAGTGAGGCTTTTTAAAATGGTTGCGGAATACGGAATAGAAAACTTATGTGGTACCGAAGACAAAAGAAATGTCAAAAAACCCGATAAAAACGAAAATGATACCAAGGAGTTCTATGTAATAACTTTAAATAATTACAAATAGATGAGAGTGAAAAATGAGACTAATAGATAACCAAGGAGTTTTTAGATGATATCATAAGAAAGCAACATTTTTGACTCTAAGAACTTTCTAAGAACGTTGGTTTGACAAACAATTTAAAGTGTTCTATTTAGAAATTAAAAATTTTTGGATCTAAAAAATTATAGTCAAAAGATTCGTTTTTAAATACATTGGCTGACACTTAAGATTTGGTAACAAATGTACACTCCTAGAGTATAAGATTTTAGTCAAACGTAAGTTTTGGTTATTGTTTGATTGAGGCTAAGGACAGGTTCTAAGATGTTTTAGCATTCTAGAAATGCAAATGTTCTGTAAAAAAAACAACATACTTGGAACTAATTAGATAATTTCTTGGTATGTTGCTAACATCAAATATACTTATGTTCAGTGTCAAGCTAGTGCCGTGACTAGTGTCATGTTGATACTAGTGTCAAATGAAAATATATTTTAGACAGAGGACAAAAACTGGTTTCACTGTCAAAAATTTAAGAAATATTTTAATATACCACATTTTTGGATTTTTTTTTCAACTAATTTTTAAAAAAATAAACAATATTTTAATATAACATGTTATTATTAACGTGAATTATACTAATATGCGTTTTATCAACGTGAACATTGCTTTGTTTTGTTTATAAAATTATATCAAAAAAAAATTTTGAAAAAAAAAAGTTTAATTTCTTTGACATTTAAAGAATTGCAGGAATTTTTTTAAACATGCATACTACAACAAGGCTACACAACTATTTAATTTATACACGTAGTACAAAAAAATTTGCAAAAAAAAATTTGCAAAAAAAACCAAAAAAAATCCCACCTGGGAACAAAAAAAGACTCAAAAATTTCGCCTTTTTGCCCCCAAACGTGAGAGCAACAAGTTGATAAAATATTTTTTGTTCTACAGTTTACTCTCGATATCTTAAACTTTATTTCCGGTCCCTAGCGTAACCATTTTTAAAGCTTTTTTAAGATTTCGAGATATCGAGAGTCATGCTAGAATTAAAATAGACAACTGACGTCTGTGAGGTTTAGTGTTGTGTGAGGTTATATAGGGGTTAGTATTGTGTTGGTTAGATATGGTTTAAGGGTTAGTGTTTTTTTAGGTTATGTAAGGATTTATTTGTTTTGGTTAGTGCGGGTTAATGTTGTGTGAGCCTATGCAGGGGTTAGTGTTATGTTGGTTAGTGATGGTGTGAAGGTTAGTGTTATTTTAGGTTAAGTTAAGATTATTTTGGATAGTAAGTGATAGTTATTGTTACCTTTAAAAAGTTTCACTAAATTTAAATAAAAGTCTAATTTTATAAATGAATTATTTTAATGCATAATTATCATTTTTACATAAAACTTAGAAAATATCTAGGATAAAAAAAAAATACCATATGCTTTTGATGATGTATTATCCTAGTACAAATTTTCCGCTTATATTAGTTAATCCAATTTAAAACTTTATGAGAATGCTAATGAAAACAATATAGATTATACTCTAACTTTTGTTATTTCTTCATTATTTTAATCTTTTAAAGTTTTTTAAAAACACAGAATCGGTTTTTAGTTGGTACTAGCTCCATAGCATTTTTTTTTTTCATAAAAGCTTTTTTTTTTAATTTTTATAATAAACAACCAATTGAAAAGGTGAACTTTCTAAACATAAACATGTTGACGCTCTTAAAGAAAAACACCGTTGGTTAAGTTTAGCAACTTTAGTTAAATCCAAATAAAATCAAGTTTTATCCGTGTATCCTCTCATTTGTTATCTTGATTATCTTTTTTCGAGTAGTTCATTAATATAAAAAAAATGCAATATAAAGATTTTAATATAAAGATTACAGTCAATTAAAGAGACTTAAAAGAATAAAGATCTTAAAAGAATAAAGAATAAAAATGACTTAAAATAATAAAGAATAGAAAACGTTAATTTAATTTGTTTAATTAATTGTTTTTTAGATTAATTTTTTTGGTTTCTTTGATTGTTGTTAACTTTTTTTTTTTTGGGAGATGCAAAAAAAAAGGCAAAAATGGTATTAAACTATGCATTTTAAATGCCGAATTTTGTGATTAGAAACCCACTCGAAATTTTTTTTCTGTATTTTATAAAATATATTGCGCGATATTTGCCGCATTTTTAGATAAAGCTTTCTCAATCGTTGCTATAGTTAATATTATTAAATTTAATAATATTAATAATGGTAACTTATATCTTGAAATTTTGCATATGCAAATCTGGTGAAGCTTTGCATAACTTTAGTAATTCATTTTTAGTTTTCTCATCATTGATTTAAATATTTTTTTAAGTTCAGCTCGATGAATTAATAACGTTTAACTTGTTATGCTTTATAATGAAAAGTATTCTAAAAATATATTTTTTTATATATTTTTTTAATATATATGTATTTTTCTTTACACTCATTTACTTTACTATTAATGCTGAAAGTTACTATTTTATTTTAACATTTTGTTTATTATTATGAAATTGTTTAATTGACTAGTTTTTGTTAACTTTTTAATAAAGACTTGTATTTAATGTAACATTTTATAACCCTTTATATGTGAGTAAATTTAATATTTCTAAATATTGTTACTTAAATATTTTATTGTTATAAGTAAAAAATAAAAAATTTACTGTGTTCTATGTATAAATAAAAATGATATATTTGAAAAAATGCATTTAAAAAGTAAACTAAAAGTAATAATAATAATAATTGCAAAATAGCTAGCAATTATTTAAATTTAATTTTTTTTAGTTTTGCTTGAGTTTTATAATATGTAACAAATAACTTGTTAAAGTTAGCCAAAGCTAATATGGCTGATCTTAACATCGATGCTATCATAAAACAGTTAAATGAAGTTAGAACCACAGGAAAACAGGTATTTAATTGCATGTTTAAAAATATAATAATTATGGCAACAATTTTAAATGAATTGAGAAAAGATTTACTCGATCACTTCTTAAAGGTGAAGACTTTTTAAAAATATTTATGCTATCTGGTGAACATTTTTGTATATAGCATTTTTAAGTTTCTAGTTTTATGGTATCATGTTGTAAAATATTTATGTATAATAATAGTTATGTACTACTATTTTATAAATAAATTATGTATGCAATTGTGGTATGTTGGTAGAGCGCTTGCTTCATTAGAGTTTTTGAGTTTCTAATTTTATGGTATCAAATTTAAATGAAAAAGTGTTTATGTATAATTGTAGTTATGTACTACTATTCTGTAAATTAATTATGCATGCAGATGTGCTGTGCTGTAAGAGCACTCTCTTCTTTTTTGAGTTTCTATTTTTACTGTATCATGTTTACATTGGAAAATATTTTGTATGTGTAAAGGCCTTGTTCTTCAAGGTTGATGTTTCAGAGTTAAAGAACTTAAAGAGGGTTATATGCACAATATAGTAGCCTTTTCGACTGTAATGAACCTCTAGGCCATTTGGAGGTAAATAACATTTAAACAAAAAATTTAATATTCTATGCAGTAGGTTGTTGAGGTTTTATGAATTAAAATAGATTTTATTATAAAAAATTTCTTTTTAATAGAATCAAAATTTTCTTTATTTAATCAGCTGACATAGATTAAAATTTGCATTACATAATTTGATGCTAGGAAAAGCAACACTGAGTTTTTCTAGATTCTAATCATTAGATTTTGCTTGTGCTTTCTTGGTAGCAGGTATGCAATTCTTGCTATTATCTTCTATTGAGGGTATAGTTTTAAAACTCAGTTTGATGGTTCCAAGGAAAGCTGTTTCTTAGCACTGTGCTCTCTTACAGAAAAAAGAAGAAACTGGCATTCCTACTATTTTTAGGGATTGCTGAACTCCGTTTTGATCTTAGATAGGCTAATACCATCAACAGCTGAAAAGTATCAGTGTATTAACAATGCACAAATGGTGTTCTTATTAGAGCTCTTTATATGCATTATTAAGGCCACATAAAAAGGTTTTATTAAAACTGAGCCAATTATAAAATACTCTTGAATATAATGATTAATAGATGATTAACAAACGACTTGAAAGTTTGCAAATGATATAAATCAGGTAAACAAGAAGAAGGAAGTGAATTCCAAAAAACTGATATTTGAGGAAGAAAACTAGACAAAAATTTTTTTTATATTTTATAAAAGGCAAATAGGAAAAGTCACAGTAAAAGGATGAGACTTAATTGAATGACAAGTAACAGAATGAATTTTAGTAGATGGCACAAGAGATGCTAGTTCTTTAGAGCAGCGTCCATTATAGTATTTATAGAAAAGAGCAACATTACGAAAATGTGATATTATTTTACGGAAAACATAAAAAATATAAAGGCAACCTGGAAAGGTATCAAAAACATCATTAATATTAAAAGCAACTCTCACACAACTCCTAATGTAATCGTACATAACAATATAACAATAACAAACCCCTTTGATATTTGTAATGCTTTCAACAACTACTTTACTAACATTGGTAAGGATGTCCAGGCAACAATTCCTTCATCCATAAATCATTTTACATATTACTTATCAAACCCTGCTCAAAAATCTTTTTTTATAAAACCTACTGACGAACATGAAATCTCAAAAATTATCGACTCTTTAGACTCAAATAAAGCTTCTGGACCAAATGGTCTACCAGTTAAAATTCTAAAACTATTAAAAACTGAACTTTCAAGAATTCTTTCTAACATTTTTAATACCTCATTCTCAAGCGGTATTTTCCCAGAAAACTTAAAAACTGCCAAAGTTATACCTATTTTTAAAAATGATTCAAAACTAATAATGTCAAACTATAGGCCAATTTCCCTCCTCTCCAACATTGATAAAATTCTTGAAAGGCTAATGTTTAACCGCTTATACGAATACTTTAATGAAAATAAACTGTTTTGTGATCTACAATTTGGTTTTCGAACAAACTACTCTACATTACTTGCTTTACTAAGTCTAACAGAAAAAATTAAAAATTCTCTAGATGAAGGAATGTTTGGATGTGGTATATTTATTGATCTTCAAAAGGCATTTGACACTGTAGATGTTGACATTCTACTCTAATGCAAACAAAACATCCCTCAACTCCAAAAAAACTGATTTAATATTATTTAAAAGTCCCCACAAAAAATTAAACCAACAGATCAAAGTTAAATTAAATGGGAAAAAACTTTATTGTAAAAAATTTGTTAACTACTTAGGTATAAAGCTAGACGAAAACTTAAACTGGGCTTATCATTATAACGATATCTCTAATAAGTTGAATAGATCCCTTGCCATTCTATCAAAGCTAAAACATTTCATTCAACAAAAAACTTTAAAATCTATTTACTATGCTTTATTTCACTCTCACCTCACATATTGCCTTTTATCATGGAGTCAAAATATGAGTATTATTAATCGCCTATTTATCATGCAGAAAAAAGCAGTCAGAATTATTGAATTTCTTCCAAAAAATTCACATACATCCACATCTTTTAACACATTACATATCTTAAAAGTACATGATTTAATTAAAATTAAAAATTGCTTATTTATTCACACCTGCCTTAATAAAAAACTGCCTCCTATATTTGATGAATGGTTTACTCAATGCAGTGGAATTAGCAGCCGATTTACAAGAAATTCTTGTAGCGGTGCATTGAGTGTGCAAACATATAATACAAAATCCTATGGTAAACAATCCTTTAAATACTCTGCAATAATAAACTGGAATCAACTTCAAAATAAATTAAAAACAATCCCTTTTTGCAATATTAAAAAATATTCTCTCAAAAATAAATTAAAATACTACCTGATAAATCAAGATAATTTAAAACAATAAATGAATTGTTGGTAATAAAAGATTTATGGCAATAGAAGTTATAGGAGATATGATATAAATATGAATGTTAAATAATAGCAACCTTATGTGAATGTATTAGCTAGCTTGTTTGTTTGTTTGTTTGTTTTTTTTTGTTTTTTTTTGTTTTTTTTTATGTTTTGTTTTTCTTTCGTTTTTGTTTTGCTCATGGTCGCTCTCCTCGATTTAGCCAGGCTATATGAGAGTGAACCATCCAGAATATAGGCTATACATATATATTTTTTTTATTTGTATTTTATAACATGCTTATTGTAAAACATCTATATTCTTGGTAAATATATTGCTTTTTGTTGTTGTTGTTGTTGTTGTTGTTGTTGTTGATAATAGTTGAAGGTTGGCTGCTAGTGCAGGTCCAACTATATTTATAATAAAATTGAAAAGAGAAAGGATATCATTCAAAAATCTGCTCCAGATATGGCAACAGTATTATATACAAGAATGGATTTGAGATTTTCAAAGATAAAGTATAGAATATGGAGTAAGAAAGTGGAAAATACGATAAAGAGATGCATCCTTAGCAGATGCTTATCTTGCAATGGATTTGATTTATGGTTCCCAAGAAAGATTAGAAGTAAGAATTTATCCTAGAAGACAAAGGGTAGATAACTCAGCAAGTAAAAAAACTTTTTATATCTGCCACTTTAGTGTGGCATTTACATTAAATGATGAGCTGTAGTAACTATGATGATTGAAAACTGCCTAATAGTTGCTTAAATTTATCAGCTGATGTTGCATCGATGACATTATCTGGCAAAGCATTTCAGTCATTAGCAACATGGTTGTTACAAAAAATTATGTCTGATTTCGCAGTTTCTGGCAATCTAGCGATGAGATCTGATTTATTGTTGAGCTCTGGGTGCCATGCTGCTAGGCCTTACATGCCAATCAATTAGGTTTAAATTGTTAGAAGCTTATATTTTTGAATAAGATTGCCTCTCTTCTGTCTGTCTTCAACGGTGGTTAATTTCATGATTTTACATCAAGTTTTGTAGTCTTTATTTTTCTAAGCCTGAGGAACTTTTGTTGGGTTGCGTTGTACCTTTTTAATTTTTTTATGTCACTATCAAGGTAAGGGCTCCAAGCTTGTATGGCAAACTCCAGATGTGGTCTAATATATGCAGTATAATTTTTTTTCCAAATGTCTGTGTCTTGATACAAACGTGTGTTCATAATTCCAAGCATATTATTTGCTTTGTTTGCAGCTATATTGCACTGTTGAGCATATTTAAGATTCTCATAGATTAGAATTCCGAGATCTTTTTCAGAATTTGTAACTTCTAAAACTACTCTATTGGTTGTACCGTCATTTTTGATTTCATCCATAGTATAATGTATAACTTTACATTTTTTATATTCAACTTCTTTAGCCAGGTTTGTGTCCATTTAACAATCTTGTCTAGATCAGATTGTAAACTTGCTCGGTCTTCATCATTTTCAACAACTTTTATGAGCTTTGTGTCATCTGCATACATTTTGAAAATGGCTGATTTGACATGAATTGGTAAGTCATTAACAAATATTAACAAAACGCATTGGTCCTAACACAGAACCTTGGAGAACCCTGCTAGTTACATCAACCCAGTCAGATTTTAAATCTCCAAGTATAACATGCTGCTTGCAGTTTGTTAAGAAGGCTTTTATCCAGTTTAGAAGATTGCCATTTATACCATACATTATAAGCTTCTACAGCAATCTTACATAAGAAACTTTATCAAATCCCTTTGCAAAGTCAAGAAAAATTAAATACATTTTAAGCTTTTACAGCAATCTTACATAAGAAACTTCATCAAATCCCTTTGCAAAGTCAAGAAAAATTAGTTCAACTGATTTTTTTTTTTTGATATGCTATGAGTCAAAAAGTCCATTGTTTCTAAAAGATTTGTGATGCAATTCTTTTTTGAAACAAAACCATGCTGAGTTTTGGAAAGCAATTTGTTATTTACCAAATGATTGATTATGACTTGTTGAGCTATTTTTTCCATAAGTTTGCATGAAACAGAAATGAGTTATATTTGCCTGTAATTGGCTTGATCTGTTCTGCTACCTTTTTTATAAATAGTGTAATATTAGCTCTGAGCCAAGAAAATGGAACCTTTCCAGATTTTATTGAAAGTTGAAAAGTTAAAGTTAGCAGAACTGCCATTAATGTGGCACATGCTTTGAAAACAAATAGACTAATGTTATCATCATCCATTGACTTATTTCCATTAAACATGTTTAGGTGTTTGAAAACAATGTTTTGGTCAATTGTTATATCTGAAGTTAAAACATTTTTTTGGATGAAAAAGGTTTTAGTGGCTGAATAAGTGGTTCCTATGTAAAAACTGATTGAAATTGGTTGTTGAAAATGTTTGCTTTTGTTATTCCATCACTGCTCATTTGATTTGAATCTGAGGTTAAGGCTGATATTAGGTTGCTCACTATCCATTTACTATTAATATATGCAAGTAGTCTTTTTGGATTGCATTTGTCGTTAGCTAGCTCTGACTCATAGACACGTAATGTTTGTTTGCTGTTTTTCTTTACCTATTTTTTAATATTTGTATACTTTGTGATTTTTTTGGTGGTATTATTTGATGCCTTTGGAATATATTCATGTCATGCTTTATTATAGAGGTTAGACCATATGGAATAACATTTCTAAACATCATGATCCATAAATCTGGCTTGCCAATTTATGTTATTTATAAAAGTGTTTATTTCATTGTATTTGTTATATTTATTAATGAGTTTTTTGCTGTTAAAACTATTTTGATTACTACTGCTTAAATTGTGCTGCCAGCTAAGAGATATATGCACTTGAGAGGCTGTACCAAGATAAGGTCCTGTTAAAAGTTTGTTGATTCTATCTTTTAATTTTAATATAATCAGATCAAGTGTGTTGTTTTCAGAATAGTTAGAACAATTCTATTTTACTGAGTTGTATTTTAAACATGTTTTATATAATTAACACTATAAACTGTTTAAAACAGCAATAAAACAACATGACAATGTTGTTTTATTTTAACACAAGCTCTTTATATTGACAAAACAACTTCACAGTATTGTTTTACTTTTTTTTTAATGCTTTTTACAATAACAATTTAATCCACTTTAAAAATAAAGCATGAAAATGTTAAATAATTTTTGTTACTAATACTTTTTTAAGTATCATGTTAAAAAAAAAACAGTTACTAATGCAACCCCTTTATCGCAAAGCAGCGCCAGAGATGGATCATATTGATAGGGCTTCAATACAAAAGTTGACTGAGGATTTAGGCAGTTAAAACAACAAAAAATATTTTTTATTATTCTTCTTTTTAAGCAAAAATTATCTGGAAAAAATTGTGAATACAGTATTTGAATATTTTGTAGAATACTTTTGTTTCATGCTTTAACACCTTATTAATATTAACCTCATTAATATTTACTTGTTTAACTCTTCGATGACAGATATTTATATTAAACAACATATCACTCAGATCCTCAGTCAAAATCTAGATATCTAAAAAATAGTCCTAAAATATTTTTACAAAATACTAATTTTATGAATATAAATATTTTTACAAACATTTGCATATAAGTATATTGCAAATATTCAATTATTATATAAATATTTGTATTGTGTATAAATAATAATTATAATAATAAATATAACATTTATAATGTTATTAAGTATAAATTACTGTAAGAATATGATAAAAATATAATAACAACTAGTTTTGTTTTTGAAATATATCAATGATTTTCCTAATTTAGTTTTAGCAGTTGTATCTATATTTACAGATGTTACTAAGCTATACAAATTACTCACTAATAGCTCATTGTGCAATTACATGCAAAAGGATATGAACATTATAGCAAATTGGATAAAATTACGGAAACTAAGTTTTTCTAGTGTCAAAAATGATCAAAAGATCATTTGTAGATCTCAATATCTTGAATATAAACAAAGTATGACATTTCATACTTTGTTCATTTCCTTGTTCCTCCTCAACTTGATTATTGCAGCTCTGTCTACTAACCTAGGCTTAAAAAAGGTCAACGATTAATTGAAAATGTTCTATGCATGTCTTATAAAGCTGTTCTTAGTCTGACTGGGTTCACTTATAACCAAAGATTACTGAGACTAAATTTAAATTGCATGAGTTATTATTTCTTATGTAATAACATGGTAAAATCTTATCAATGGACTGACAATGTAGTTTATTAAGATTCTGACTGTTGCAACACTTGTCCTCATTAAATGAGTGTTAATAAAAAATGCAGAGATTGTCAACCAATTTATAAGATGAGACCAGTCAATATTAGGATAAGTTTTTCTTCTCTTTACTACGCACATATTTATAATTTGCAGCAAAATAGTTTGTTGAATAACTTAGCTAAAATGAGTGCATATGCGAACCACCTGATTTTTTTTTTAAATCTTGGAGAATCATAGAGTAACCATTAATAATACAATTTTTAATCAAGTATCCTGTTATTAGTTGTTCTTATTTTCTGCCCTACTAGATTACTACATTACACACATTATTCTATATTACAAAATAAATTATGTAATCTTTTCTTTTTATAGAAAATTTTCAAATTATTTTTACATTTACAATTTATTTTCAGTAATATCATCTATATTTTTATAAGTATTTTATTTTATTGATAAAAATATATATTTTTTAGGCTCAACTATCTGAATCAAAAATTAAGCAGTTATGCAACATATCTCGTGAGATTTTTTTGGAAGATTCCAATCTGCTAGAAATTAATGCACCTGTTCATATTTTTGGTGATATACATGGTCAATTTGAAGATTTACTACGACATTTTGATCTTGTAGGTACTCCTGATACTGAACGTTGTCTTTTTCTTGGTGATTATGTTGATAGGTAATCTTTTTAATATTTGGATTTTAAATTTTTTATTGTTTGATATTGCCATTTTATTTAGGTATTGTTGATTTTTTAATGTCTGTCTTTACTATTAAGCATGTTTCTTAGTCTAACTAGTTATTTTTTAATTATTAACAGTGGCTGAATTTGTTGTTGGTTCTGTTTGTTGCTTACATTTTTTTTTTTCATTTTTACTACCTGTATGGTTTTACCAGCATATGTTGTTGCATACAGTGCCCTATGCTCTCATACCTTCCTAAATTAGTAATAAATTTTTTTTTTCTGTAAGCATACCTATTTCAAAGAAACCTATATCGAAAAAAGGAATAGTTTCTAAAAAAAAACCTGTCAAAATGATTTTTCAGCACTTGTTTTAAAACAAAAGGAATAAATTCAAAAGCTATTTGTTTCAAAATGGGGTTTTTTCTTTTCAAAAAACTTCAACTCATTTATGTCAGATAAGTTATGGACTAGATAAAAAAAAATTTAAGTAAAAAATGTTTAAGATGTAGTACCAGCTGAAAATGTAGTACCAGTATGAGATAAAGATGTACCAGTATGAGTTAAAGAAGTACCAGCTGAAAATGTAGTACCGTATGAGATGACGCAGTACCAGCTAATTGACTTACGCATTCTATAGTCAATAAAGATGTTGGTAAAGGTGAGTTGTTTAAGGATAATAATAATTTTAGTAGTATCAATAAACTTGATACTTTGAAACCTCATCAAAAGACAACTTAGTGCTCTAGTGAACAAAGTCTGATTCAGATTGTAAATTCTGAAGAGCATATTGTAAATTCTAAACAACAAATAGTAGATTCTGAAGAACACATTGTAGAATCTGAAGAACACATTGTAGACTGAACCTACAACATGTTCTTCAATGAACCTACATGTTCATTGAGGAACATGTTGTAGGTTCTGAAAATTTTAAAAAATGAAAGTTGCAAAGGTTTTCATGTTATTTTTAACATTTATGAGAGATATTCAGTTGTTAGTTAGCATTTTGTATATGAAAATGATTCAGTTGTCAATGTAAAACATATAAATTGTTATATTAACTGTATATGTTATTGTTATAAATTCTGTTTAATGTTTTTTTTTTTGTTGTTTAAAGATTTTTTATGGTATTGTTGTTGTTTTGTATTTAAATTTAAAGTACAAAATGTTTCACTGAAAAAGTTTAAAAATTGTTATTATTGTTATTATTGATGATTGTGGCTATGAGTCTAAAAGCAATAGTGAAACTATAACATTAGATTTAAAAAAAAAAATCAATTAACATATAAAACTGTGATCGAATCAACAGAGAGATTTGATGTCAAAATCAACATAAGTTTTGAATGTTTCATTGTATTTCAACAATGATTTTTTGCACACCTGCTACCTGTTCCCCCAGATGCATTAAACTTTTTTTATGATTAAACAAAAAGATTTGTTTTTAATTTTTGATATTTTTGTACAAAAGTTCGTAATTTTTTAAAATCGGTTTAAAATTATTATAACTTATAAAATGTAATACTGAAGTATTAAATTTTTATATTTTTAAATTCATTTTCCTGTTTTTAAATAATTGTCAAATAATATTTGTATTTAAACCCTTCTATTTAAAAGTTTGTACATTGCTTGTAACATAGGCGCAATAGCCAAAATAATTCTTAACCAAAAACTCTGAAAACACAAGTATTGATAAACAAAGCTGCTGTGCTGAGAAACAATATTATTATTGTGTTTCCAGATGTGTAGGGCACATTTAAACTTTAAACCTCTTGATTGTCCAACATTCTACCACTATTTTACTACCATGTTAAATCAATTGGTTGATCGATTGTTTGGTTCAAGTAAAAACAATGAGTTGTAGACAAAAATATTATTTTTCAGGCAGTTTAGTTTTGTTGAAGCTATTTATAAGACTGGTTAAAAAACATGTTTAGGTAGGTGGGGAAACTGTTTACTATTTTACTTAATAATACTTTACTAATAATTTTTCTTATATACTTTCTAGTACTCTTGGGCTATCCTTTCTCCAGGGTGATTGAACAGGAAATCTTAGTTTTGATTATAAATGAATGGGTCATTTCAGAAACACCCTAAAGTCACTGACTTGTTGTGGAACAGCTAATACAGTGTGATCGAAAGTCATAAATTAGCGCATTTGAAGTTGAAATGATTGTTACACAATCAGTTTTCTTTTGAATAATTATTTGTAATATATTTTTTGGATAATTATACTGAATTGCAACACAAACAATTCCCTTTCAACAATCTGTTGTAAAAATATCTTTAGAAAACCAATAATGATTAATTCACTACATAGAATTCTCACATGAATTTAATAAAAGCTGTAACCCTAAGTTGAATAGTTACAGTGAATCATGTTGATTCATTTGATAGGAGGTTATGTTTTTATCTTTGTATTGATGTGTTGCGCTTTACTAGTTCACAGTGACTGCATTATCAGTTTTTCAAATTTTAATTGATCTACAAGAGTGAATTAATAATGAAAGCTCATGTTGGCAGAAACCCCTACACAAACTATGCTAGGAAGGGCATACCTGAAAGAAAACCTGGAGAAGATTGCAAGTAAGTTAAAATATTTTTTTGGATGTATATGGCGTGATAAATCGTTTTTTTTTTTAATGAATGTTGACCTTCGTATCTTTATTTATTGAAAAACATCTAATTTAAGAGATATAATTCAAATAAGGGAGTTTTATTTTTAAATATTTTTTTTTCTAGTTGATAAGTTATTAGATATATTAAAGATGCTCATTGCATTTAATCAATTTTTATTTTTTCAAAACAGTTTTTCATGCATTTGCAAAGTGTGCGCAAATTAATGGTAATAAATATGCAATGACCTAATGATTGTAAACTGTTATCTATTGATACAAAATAATGAGTTTTTTAAAATTTAGTTCGTTATATTTATATTTTCTAATAAAAAAACGTAACTTGAAGAAAATAAATCATATGATTGGCAGGGTCAACAAAACCACTCTTTTTCTAAAGGACTTTCTTTTTTTTTTATATGTTTTCAGAAATAGAGGATATTTTTTAGAAATTGACAATTGTAAATAAACCTGTGTTTTCGTCCCTGATTGGTGTTGTTAAACTTACAATTAAAAATAACAACTATAATAAACATAATAGTTCTATATATTCTATTAGATTATTAACATTTTAGCAAAACTTAAAATTTTTTTCCACACTAAAAATTGCAAACAAACATTACTTCACTTGAAGGAAAATAAGAAAATGTAAAAAAAAGCACACTTTTAAAGAAAACAATCATAATATTTAAGCATGGTTTTTTTTAAAGAAATAGCAAATGCATTTATTTTAAGTAAAATTTTGCATGCATTTGTAAACGCATGCAAAAACCATGCTAAAACATTACTTTCTTCAATAGCTTTATTATAGCTTTCTTCAATAATTCTTCAACTTTATTAATTTACTTCAAAGTAATGCTCTTGAAGAATTTCAAAGTAATGCTCTTGAAGCTTTCTTTTAAAGTCTTCGAAAATGGGTTTTAAATTTTTGTAACTAATTGTTTTTTTATTATAAATATGTGTTTTTATAACAACAACAAAAAACTATCAATCGCATGATAATTTGGATAAAATAATGCTGAAGTAAAGTGTTTGTTTTAGAAAGTTTTAAGTGAACGCCAACGTTTGATTAGGCTAATGTAAGGAAACATGATGTTTGTTTTTATCTTTTTTTTAACAAACATTTGTCGCGCCCTGAAGAATGCCTAAGCACTTTAATGAGTCTTCAAAGCCATAACAAGATGTAACATTTTTTCATGAAATATCAACATCATCTGATAAAGACCAGGTGTGCAAATTGGCTTCTATGATTATTCTCTCAGTGACAAGTGACAGATTAAGAAGGCTAGGTAACCTTTTGAAGACAGGTCAACTTCCTTGTGATAAATATGGGCAAAGTAATTCAGGAAATGCTAAACCTAAAAGTGTCATCAATATGGTTCATATCTTTTTATCCAACAAAAATTACTCACTATAGTAATACTGAAAAAAAATTTTCTCAATGAAAAACCTTCTGTAATATGATATGTCGAAAGCGTTTCAACAGGAGTATCCTGGAATCAATCTAAATTACATTTTTTATTTGAAAATATTGAAGCAGCAATTTTCTTTGAGGTTTGGATTACCTCAAGTTAACATATGCTGCACATGAGATGAATTACAGGTAAAAGTTAAAAGTAAATATTTATGTGACAATGTTAAGACTGTTGTCAAGATGGTGATAAAATAGGAGGGGTTTGTATAGATTATATGCAAAATTTACAACTTCCCTAGATACCAGTTTAAGAGACTTTTTTTATGTATTTTTTGGTAATCTTAAAAGTAACTACAGAAATTTTATAGATTGTTTATTGTATTTAAAATATTATGCTTTTTAAACTTTCTATATTGTGAAAACTGTAAGTTTGTTAAACATGTAATAAATAGACAATAAATAAGTATTAATTATAACTAATGATTATTTTAATATTATAATAACACTTAAATGTAGCAACATAATTACAGGTTTGCTGCAATTCTGTGTTTCTTTGTTTAAAATGTCTAAATATTAAAACTTATACAGTTAGTTTTGATAAAACAGAAAACATCCCAACAATTTCATCAGATTGTTTGCTCTAATTATTGGTATTCTTTATTGTTTATGCAATGTCAAATATTTTAACCATCTAATAAAAAAAAGTTTTATAATAATTCAGGCCTTGGCGGTACTAAATTAGCATGAGAGCAGAGAAAAGCTTTCCGAAAGCAATCATGGCAAGCTATGTAAGCTGCTTCTCTAAACAGCTTCTTATGAGAGCTTTTGGTTTTAGCACAAGCTATCTGTTTATTCATCAAAAATTGCTTGTTAAATACAAAATTTGGCTTTATACTTGTTACAAGCATATGTTTGTATTGTTAATGTTACAAGAATATATTTATAACAAGGGTAATTTATTACGCTGTGAAAAAATTCTATAAACCAGCATTGTTTTTGGGTTTTTACACTAGCTATCCATTAATTTATTAACAATATTACTTATTTGATTAAAAATTTTGACAAAGAGCTATTGAAGTTTTTACTGCTTATAAAAAACATTCTATATTTTCTTGTTGTAATAAATTGCAGGCAGTTTAAGAATTATTACAACAATAAAAATTCCACTATAAAAGTGAATAATATATTAAGTAATTGATATATAAAATTTATTTATTATTCATTTATTAAATTTGTTGCATAAAATAAAAATTATTATGCAATAATCTAAAGTGCAATAATTTTATATTTTATCAATATAATTTAGAGTGCAACAGTTTTATAATTATTATTTAGTCCAATTTAAATAAAATATTTGCATTTCAATTGGCTATCTTTTTTATTTTTTTGCTTTATTTTTTTAAAAGCTGTGCCTTTCAAAAAGCATTGCAGTTAATTATGCAATTATCTTTTTTATTATTTTATAAAAAGGATTTAGTATTTTTCATTTTAGTTATAATTACAATTATACTTATGAGAGAAAATATTATACTTTTGAGAGAGCTGTAAATTGCTCCCGTAAACCATTTTAGGGGAGTGTGGGTGAGACAAAATAAATTTGTTTATGCGATAAATATTTAAATATTTATATAAAATTTAAATATTTATATAAAGAATTAAATATTTAAAAAATTTTATGCAAATATATAAAAAGTCGATGTTTTTAGAATAAGTAGGGTAAATGTTTATTAGTCAATTGTTTTTAGGGCTTTCTGCAAGCTTGAAGGAAACTCTAAAAACAATTGACTTATAAATAAAAACAGGTTTGCAGGGTGCTGATGTTTGTTTATTATTTAGAGGCAAATATTCAATTGAAACAATATGTCTGCTGCTTTGTTATAAGATTAAGAACCCAAAGAGCATATTTTTACTTCGAGGAAACCATGAATGTGCCAGCATTAACCGGTAAGTGTGAATTTAAAAATTTTTCATTTTCAATTTGGAATCTTATATAGATTGAAATATATATATATATATATATATATATATATATATATATATATATATATATATATATATATATATATATATATGTATATATATATGTATATATATATGTATATATATATATATATATATATATATATATATATATATATATATATATATATATATATATATATATATATATATATATATATATATATATATATATATATATATATATATATATACACATACACACACACAACTATAAATGCCTGCTTAAATAAGCACAGCGACATAACATTGAAATAGTCTGCTGTATGTATGTATGTATGTATGTATGTATGTATGTATGTATGTATGTATGTATGTATGTATGTATGTATGTATGTTTGTATGTATGTGTGTACACACATACATACATACAAACATACATACAGCTAATAAATTTATAATATTCTTTATAATTCAAATAAAAAAGGATATATGGTTTTTATGATGAGTGCAAACGACGCTATAATATCAAGTTGTGGAAAACCTTTACAGATTGTTTTAACTGCCTTCCATTAGGTAAGGTTAATTTTTTCATTATAATTCTAGTAATTTTTTATTTTAATAAAATATTATTGTTTTAGCTGCAATTGTTGAAAATACTATTTTTTGTGTCCACGGTGGACTCTCACCAGATTTAAATGATCTTGATCAGGTGTTTGTTTGTTTTTTAATTTTTATTCTGTGTGCTACTTACATCTATGTGCTTTTTTTCCTCCTGTATAATTATGTAGTTTATGCATTTGAGAATTTCTTAAAAAAACAATTATCTTTTAAAAGATTAGACAAATGGCTCGACCCATGGATATTCCTGATCATGGTATTGCAGCAGATTTACTTTGGTCTGATCCAGATGAGGTTAAGTCTTAAAGTTGTTCTTATATAGATTTTATGATTTATGCAAATTTTTAATGTTACTGTAATTATTATGCAATTACAAAAGGGAAAGTGAAATACATTTTATGAGTATAAAAGTATTTATATTGTCTGTCATTTTAGAAATAGTATCTAGGTTCAAAAACAATATTGGTTTCATCATTCTTCTATTATAACAATGTTATAGAAGCTAAGTTATAAACAATGTTATAGAAGCTTAATTGTGTGATTAAAATTCAAATCTAATTTCTGCCTTTTATACAACTTTATTTAAAAAATATTAATAAGTTATAAAAAACAAGATGCATTAGGTCACTTAACTTTATAACAGCTTATTTAGTCAAATTTTTTTAACAACCTCTGTGTCCATTTTTCTCATTATTGAAATATTAATCCTTATTTTGGGTTTTAATTAGGGGTGGTTGTCTGCTTCCTTTTTTGTCTTCAGTTTTTTTTCTAATTCTTGGGGATAGTTATGTCTACAAACGATTTTGGGTAACCTTTTTCAACAAATTGGTTTGCTTCAAACAATTTACATTTGTTAATGTTCTCATTATAAAATTTGTACAATGGTGGTTTGATTTTTGTTTTTGTTTTGTTTTGCTGTTGATAACATTAATTTGTTAGGCTAGAAATTTTTATACTCATATTTAAATAATATCCAATTATAAAAAAGTTAAATAACAGATTTGATCATCAGTGGCTGCGATTAGGTTCCAATTTTTTGCCAAATTTTTCAAAAATACATTAAAATACATAAGTATGCAACTTGTTTGTTAAATCACAAACCTTGATGAACAAGGCTGCTGCACAGAAAAACAAATTAAGTACAGTGCTACTAGGTATGTGATGAGTTTGAACTCTGTACATCTTGCTTAAAAAGTGTGTGTGTGTTTCTATATATATATATATATATATATATATATATATATATATATATATACATATATATATATATATATATATATATATATATATATATATATATATATATATATATTTATATATATATATATATATATATATATATATATATATATATATATATATGTATATATATATATATATATATATATATATATATATATATATATATATATATATATATATATATATATATATATATATATATATATATATATATATATATATATATTCAACATTTTCACTTCCAACAAAGTTGCAAGCATCCACTATTAAAGTTGGAAGTTACTGGAAGAGAAAAGATTAAATTTATAGAGCAAGATAACGATTAACAGATGATTTAAAAGCTTGCAAATTATATGAATCAGGAAAACAAGATGAAGGAAGTGAATTCTAAAGGATTGATGTTTGAGGAAAAAAACTAGGCCAATAAGAATTTTTAGAGCACTTAGGAACAGTTACAGTAAAATGGTTAAGACTTAATATTGAATTACGCTTAACACGAGAATGATTTTTTGAGCAGTGCCCATTACAGTATTTAAAGAAAAGATAAAGAGAAGCAACATTATGACAGTCATATATTTTGAATAAGAAATGTTTTAAAGAGGTCCCCCAAAATCCTTGAACATTTAATGAGTTCCTAATATTATCAAAAATAATAGTTATGTTTGGTCTTAAATGAAGCAAAATCATGTTAATTTTAAAAATTATAATTTTATAAAAAATTATTGTCAAAAAAATTGGTAAAAATGCACTTTTTCTTTTTTTAGTTATTAAACTTCATTTTTTATGCTGTTAAATCTAGCATAAAAAATGAAGTTTAATAACTAAAAAAAGATATATATATATATATATATGATCGTTACAATCAGGGTCTGATCCTCTCAAATACATTGTCTGTAGAATAATAAAAATTTTTTCTACACTTGTATATATCTATATAAAAAAATTATGTAATTAATAAGTTGATTAACTTTGATTTCTTTGGTATCTTTCTCTTGAACTTAAAAAAAATTAAAGTAAACTTATTAAATCTTTATGTAGTTAAGTGTAATTAAACCATAAATTTATTATTTAATAATACCCAAATTCCTAAATTAACCAATTAAAAGAATTAAAATGTAACATAGCTTTTCAGTGTTATTACTAAATCACTAACAAAAACCATATAAATAAAAACAGCAATCTTTACTTATAATTAAGTTAAATCAATTTAATCAAAATCTATTTATTGTATTAAATTTAAACAAAATAATATATTTATTATAAGTTATATAAAAACTTTAAAATCTATGATAAATAAAGCTAAAATGTAACTTACTTTTGGACAAATGACCATCTAAAATAACAAAATATATTTTCTAACTCATTAAATAACTGTATAAATAAACACTTAACACACAATCTTACATTCCTGAAAACAGCAGACTTGCTTGTCAAGGTTTGTGTTTTGGAGTTAAAGAGTTGAGAGAGGGTTGTACCACAATTTACAAAAAAAAAAAAAAAAAAAAAAATGAGTAGCCTCCTCGACTGTAGTGGCCCCCTCGGGCCTTGGGGAGGTGAATAAATAAAATTCAAAAAGTATATATATATATATTAAATTGCTTTAATACCTAAAATAAACTAAAATTAGCATTACAAAAATATTTGGTTAGTTACAAATAATAGTAAAAAATATTATTATTGTTATTACTATACATATATTTCTATTTAATAATATATATATATTTATGATTTTATATATGGAATACATATTATAACAACAATTATAATTACTTTTTATATTATCAAAGTTTAATTTATATAAATATATTAATAGTATACTAATTGATCTTTGATTTAATGAATCTATTAATTTAAAGTTTTATTAATTTATTAATCAATTAACCAATTGACTAATAATTTAATCGATATAAATTTACCAAGTAAAGTAGTGAAAAAAGTAGACAATTTAGAATTTGCTCCTCACCTGTCACAGCGCTTTGACAACAGGTATTTAGCCAACATTTATCTCTGAAGAGTGAAAATGGTGAAGTTAAGTTGTGCTTTGAAGATGTTTATATTACATATACTGTGTGTCAATAAAGATACATAATTCTTGTGTATATTGCTATATTCTAATTGGAAAACATTGATTCTTGTTTCATAGCATATTCCTATGTGTTTTTAGAAAAATTATTTTTTTTTAATGAATTTTTTTTGAGTTTTTTGAGAAATATAAACAAGAAAATAAGTGCTTATTTGGTTTTATTTGGTGAATAGTGATTTATATGTTTTTATTGAGTTTAGGATATTACTGGATGGGGAGACAACGATCGTGGAGTTTCATGGACATTTGGTGGGGATATAGTTCAAACTTTTTTGAAAAAAAATAATTTTAGTTTAGTTGCCCGGGCACATCAGGTATTGTTTCAAATATATCTTATTACTTATTAATTACACTGTTTTTAAATTAAAGTAACTTATTTAACAAAAAAAAAAAAAGTTATTTTTAATAATTATTTATTGAATAAGCTTATTAATTAAAGACTATCAACCCGTAAAATGATTGTGATACCAAAAATTACCAAATAGCTGAGTTGAAATCTAAATGCATTTCATAAATGATACACAGTAACCTCAACGTAACAAATTGGCATTGTTTATTTTATGCAATGTTCTAGAAATAATAAGGCACCCTAATTATAAATAAATATTATATTATTTCATCATAAACTGGTAGTTTGCAATAACTAATGTAGAACTAAAGATATAAAAAGGAGGAATGTAATAAAAGCATTCATCCGAATATACACCTTTGTATTTATTTGGAGGCCTACTGTAAAGTTGTAAAAACCTTTTTTTTTTTAAAAAATAAAAGAAAATAAAAAAACAATTTTATTAACAAAATGTGCATTTTTAAACAATGGTGGTTGTTTAGCACCTTTTCGTTTACGTAAATTAAAAAGAGTATAGGGCCAAGGATTGAACCTTGAGAAACCCTTGAAGTTACTGAATATGAAGAAGAGTGCTGTCCATCGAGGACGACTTTTATACTATAATTGGAAAGAAAGGGTTTAATAATCTTAAAAATGTTACCAGATCAGATCGCTCTCCAGAATTTTCGAAAATAACAGATGACACTTTCCAGCAGGCTGGAAAACAAGACTTTGATAAGCATTTATTAAATAGTTGTGAAAGTATAGATGACAGCTCTGGAGAACACTTCTGCAAGACAATAACAGGTATAATGTCTAGACCACAAGCTGTAGAAGAAGCAGGAAATCTTTTTAGATACAGATGCTGGAGTGATACGAATGTCAAGCAATTAATCAAACTGTTTGACGGCTATATCAGGTAGAACGCAACTAGTGGAATCAAGAGATGATATTGATGAAAAGTTCTTAGCAAACAATTCAGCTTTGTCTTTAGGTGAAGTGGCAAATTCTGAACCATACAAGAGAAGTGGAATAACAGATTTGCCCTTATTATTGAGGCTATTAAAGATTCTCCAGAAGTCACGAGAACCTAATTTTTGGTGATAAATTATGAGATTTCATGACCTGAGAATAGCGGGCTTTGGCATTAGACAAAACCTTTTTACCATGGTTTCTAGCGGTAATAAACAGACGTCTGTTTTCTGAAGAATTGTTTTGCCGATAGATATGGAAGTAACGGTTTCAATGGGAAATTGCAGCAGCACAATGTGAGGAAAATCAGTGAAGCTTGACCTGGAATCGTCAAGAGGGACCCACCACCAGATCACCAGATATGCTTGCTCTTAGTGAGATTAATTTAAATCCTACGATTCCTTCTTCAAATTGATTGTTGATGGGTACTATCATTTGATTTGCAAAGATCCAATAATCATTATGGTTTTTGATCCTCTCGTTCTATGACTGACTTGCTAACTGCTGTGACTAAAAGATTTTATTGTGCACTAGATTGAGGTGGTGAGACTAGGGTTATTGCTCTTGACATATCTTAAGCTTTTAAAAAAGTTTGGCATGCTGGTCTTCTCCATAAGCTTTATATGGTGTATCAGAGAAAGTTTTTAAGATTATCAAATTGTTTCTTTTTAACTGCTTTATTAAAGTCATCTATGAAGGCCTTGAAAAGTAATACATTTGAAACAATTTTTCTAAGTATTAAAGTCATCCTTGAAGGCCAACACTCTTCTTCATTTCCAGTTACTTCTAGGGTACTTTAAAATTCTATATATTTCCAGTAATTTCTAGAGTTCTAGAGTACTATAGAAGTACTAGATTACTTCTATAGTACTTCAAAATTCTATATATTCATTTCCAGTAACTTCTAGGGTACTTTAAAATTCTTTCCTTGGTTCTGTTTTGTTTCTTATCTGCATTAATAAACTTCCTGACAATCCTACATCTAAAGTGGGTCTATTTGCTGGTGATTCAACTTTATATTATTAACAATTTCATGTCTTGACAATCTTTTTGTTTTGATTGAATAGTACAGGCAGCCGATCTTGAATCTGATTTTTACAGGATCTGACTGAATCTAATTAGTACAGGCAGCCGATCTTGAATCTTATTTCCTTATAATCTTATTTAAGTTATTTACTGCAAACAACTATCGCAATACTGTTGACATTCCTATATTAATGAATGTCAACCCTCAACTGAATCCTCTTTTTTACATCTTGGATTATCGCTTACTACTGACCTATCATGGAAACCATAAATAAAATTGATTGATAAATTAGTATCTACTAAGGTTGCTTTTCTTTTATGTGTTTGCAGGCTTGCTCAGTAAGGGGGTGCGATCGCACTCGATAATTGACCACGGAAATAATATTTAGTTGCAAAAATTTGACCAGATTTTTTAGTCGTTTGGAGAACATTTAAAAAACAAAAAAGCGCAATAAGATTAACTGGACTGATGAGAAACAGTTAAAAAAAGAAAAATAGCTTTTAACGCGAAAAAACTTTAAACAAAATAAATACTATTAGAGCAAATAATTTTGAAACGTCGCTCTTTTATAATTTTTTTTATAAAATTGACTTTTTATATGAAGTAACAACTTACTATTAATGATTGTTTAATAAGGAAACAAATAATCTTCGATTTATCAAAGAGTATATATGATTTTTATTTATATACTTATGTCTTATTTCCAGTGCTGGATTGAGGAGGTGGGGGGGGAGTAGAAGGGCTATAGCCTCGGGACTCACAATGTTAGGGGCCGCGAAATAGTCAAGAGGACCGTTTGGTATTTTTTTCAGTCATTTTTACACTGTGGCACATAAAAAAGGCCGCCAAAATAATGTAGTCCCCGGCCCTGAAAAGTCCAACAAGATTCAACCAATAAAACTAACATTAGATGATTTATTTATAAATAAAAAAGTTTTTTTAATAACTGTTTTATGCTTCGTGTAGTTTGAAAAGTTTAACACATTTGAAACAGTTTTTCTAAGTAAGATGAACAAATGAAATAATTAAATCATTGAGTTACTGTAGAAATTCAATCAGCTAAATAAAAATTAACTAAAAACATAAAATTACTTTGTGAGGAGGAAGCGGAACTGCTTCACAATAACGCTGATGATGTTTAGTGAGTGGGCTTTATAATTTTAATTAGTATTTAAAACAGAAAAAAGTAACTTTAAGTATAACGAGTTTGTAAGAATGGCTGAAGCAAAAATAATTGAAGTTAGTAAACCAATTTCTAAGAACTTAAAAACTTTTTTTTTTGGGGGAAAGAATCAGTTATCGAGTACACTGAGAAAAATGGATTAGTGGTTAAAATTATTTGTATTAACTTTGATGATTATTAATAATTTCATTGAAAATGCAGTTATTAATGAAAGTATTTTTGTTTACAAAATCAATCGCACAAATTGCTTTAAAAGATTACATTTGAATAAAATACACATACATAAAATTACATGTATAAAAAATAAATACATAAAAATACATTACATACATAAAAAATACATCCCTTATATAAAAAATAAGAATATACTAATAAAATCTATAATATATTTACAAAATGTTGAGAAGTTAAAAAAGATAAATTTAACACATTTATTTTTGTAAACAAATAATGTTGGTTTAAAACATTTATAGCTTTGTAGATATGGCTCCGAGAATTAAAATAATAGTTTGTTTGATATTCCTAAAACAATTTATGCTAGAAATCTCAACGAAAACATAACAAAACTCAAATAATACAATTTTTTTAAATATTTTAACAGAATACTCTAGAAATTTCGGTTAGTATTTTTTGAACCAATGGAATTAGTTGTTCGTAGATTTGGCGGGTTTTTTGTGTTTTTTTTATTTTTCCGCACAAAGATGTTTGAGAACATTCGAGTTGATGTATGTTTCCATGTATGTCCGTTAACAAAATATTTCAAAATTTACGATAAAATAATGAACTTAATTAAGGAAACACATAAATTTAAATGTTCTCAAAACGACTAAAATATCTGGTCAGTTTTTTGCAACTAAATATTATTTCCGTGGTCAGTTATCGAGTGCGATCGCACCAGCTTCACGAGCAAGCCTGTTTTTGCCATTTTTTTACTTCTGATTTCATTCTCTTCCTCTTAAAATTTCTCATTTGTCCCTGTATGGAATACTGTTGTCAAGTTTGATTTGGTCCTTCTAATGATGGTTTTCTTTTCTAGAAAAGTTTCAAAGTTGCATTGTAAACATAGTTGGATCTGCTTTATCTGCTAAGCTTGTTCCTCTTTTTCATTATCATAAAGTAGCATCTCTTTCTATTTTCTACAAATACTATCATGGTTGCTGTTCAAAGAAGCTATTATCTCTAGTTTTGTCAACTAAAACTCACTCTCGCTTAACTTTTCATTCAGCAAAGTCTCATTTGTTTACTGTATCTGTTCCTGTATACTCTAAAAACTTTTACTTGTCTAGTTTTTTTCTGCACTTCAATCGTTTGAAATTCTCTCCCATCTTCATGTTTTCCTGACTAATACAACCTTCAATTTATCAATTCTTCTGTCAACCTTTTCGTTGTTCTATAACTTTATTCTTTTTTTTTCTAGTAACTTTAACTTAATAGTAGTTGCTTGCATCTTTGTTGGGTGTAAATCATAATAAAAATTAAAAAAATAAATCAAATCCTTACTAGTAGCTCATAATAAAAACACTGACTTATCATCTGAAATACTTTGTCGAAACAATGATCTAAAACATTTTTAATAAATATAATTAAAACTTAAATACATTAAAAACAAAACAAAAAAAGAGTCAATTAAATGTTATATATTAGTTAATTTGATCATTGTTATTGGTATATGGTTCTCTGTTCCTTATTGTAACACAGTCATTGGCACACAGGATTTTTGAATTAAGATGTATCACTTGAAGTTTTTTTATTTTTTTTTATTACTAATTAGAAAGATATAAACTAATATAAAGATAAGTCAGTTTGAAAATTGTTGGCAAAAACTTTACAGAGAAAGCTGCTTAAAAAAATGTTAAATCACTAATTGTATAAAAAAATAAGTTTATGAATAGGAATATTAAAACTGGAATTGTACATTTGTGTGTGTTTTTTTTTACTCATTTCTTTTAAATGAAGTTATAAACAAAAAAAGTCCATTATATTATAAAAACTCATATATTTAAAAAACATTATATCATAAAAACTCATATATTTTTCATATCATTGTGGCATTACTAAGTTTCTGAGTTTAAGCAAACTTTATATAATGTAATCTTATTATAATGTAATTTACAATTATAATGTGATGTATAATATTTATATAAATTTTGTGCGTGTATATATATATATATATATATATATATATATATATATATATATATATATATTACAAAATTTGTGAGATTCATTTAAAGTCAATGATTTTTAAAGCCTGATTAGACTAAATGTATTTATTTTTATCAGTGACTGAAATATATTTTTTATAACAAGTAAACAGAAGGAGGGGGTATTTATAAGCATGGGTGGGTGGGAAAAATTTCCAAAAACTAAGAAACGTCCCCTCTAGTGTATTAAACACCTAAGAGTATATATATATATATATATATATATATATATATATATATATATATATATATATATATATATATATATATATATATATATATATATATATATATATATACATATATATATATATATATATATATATATATATATATATATATATATATATATATATATATATATATATATATATATATATATATATATATATATATATATATATATACATTTATATACATATGCATGTAAATGCATTAATAAAAAACTATATAATAAAAAAACCTTTTGATATGACAATGTAAGTATGCAGTATCAAGTTGATATAATTTTAAAAGTCACTGTAATCAGTGCTGTCATTTTTAAAGAAAATTAGTTTTATAACTTAGTAGATTTTATAATAAATCTTTTAAAACATCAATATAAGTATAATAAGCATAAGTATAACACATACCATTTTCAGAAATAATTTAAATTATTACTTTTAAATATTTTTGAGAATTTGCATGTTTTTAATTATGTTCAAATTCTTTCTTCTTGCACATGGTTTGACATTGAATCAAGTAATATTGAAAAGTATGAAGGTTTTAGGGTACTCTAAAGGACTAGTTTAGTTTTTTATTTCCCCCAAAGATAAAAATAAAAGTCTCTCAATAATTTTTTCTTTAAAAAATTTTTTTTATTATTTCTGCATATTATTTCTTGTTTAAGTTGTGGAATAATAAAATTTTTCACCAAAATAAAAGTAAAATATTGTTATGTTAAAAACTCAATTGTGATTAAAATCTATTAGGCTGGCGCAGATGTATTTTTAATACATTGTTTCCAGTTTAGGATATTAAATGCTGGATCTGGTAGTCAGGTTTCCTGAACTCTGTGGTAGCTCTCAGAGAGGCTGATTTCATTAACAGCTGAAAAATATCAAAGTATTAACAATGCTATGTTGCGCATGGATGGTGTCCCTGTTTGTACTTTTGGTGTGCATTGCCAAGGTCACATTGGAGCCCTTTGTTATGGCTCCAATGTGACCTTGGCAATGCACATTGGAGCCGTAACAAAGGCAATTGCTTGGGCTATTAAACAGTGTACTGAGTACTATCTTTGCTTCGAGTCAAGTTCTTTAACAAATTTAAAAATGAATAAAGTAGCAAAAACTATTAAACACAAAAAACCACTGTCATCATCAAGTTCGCTAAACCTATCATTCACTAATATTCGTGGTCTGGAAGTAACTCTTCTTTTGTTGAGTCTTATCTCTTGCAAAGTTCACCAGACCTACTTGCTTTATGTGAGACTAATTTGAGTTTGGCTGTCTCATCTTGTGAACTTAGTATTAATGGTTATCTTCCTTTAATTCGTAAAGACTCCAATAGTCACATGCTTAGCATTTACATTCGTAAGAATTCACCCATTTGTTGGGAAACTAGGTTTGAATTCACAGACTACTCTTTTATGTGCTTTTGTTTAGTACCACTTCATTCTTTCACCTTTCCCTTTGTTCTATATCGCTCTCCTTCATCTAAAGACTGCACTCTTCTTGATGTTATTTCTGATCATATTGACCAAACCCTCTCTCTTTATCCTTCAGCAAATAATGTTGTTGTCAGTGATTTTAATGTTTATCAAACTGAGTGGCTTGGCTCTAGTGTCAGTGATTCTGCAGGCATTAAAGCCCACAAGTTTTGCTTTTCTTAATCCTTAACTCAAATAGTCAACTTTCCAACTCGCTTTCCAGACAATCCGAATCATTTACGTTCTCTACTCGACTTATATCTTGTTTCTGATCCTAGTCAATGCTCAGTTTGATCTCTCTAAAACTATTATCTCATTCTTCTTTATCATCAGAATCTCCCTATCATCGTACATCTTACAACTACCTTAAAGCTGACTGGGAATCTTTCTGTAATTTTTTTCGTGATGGTCCTTGGGTAGAAATCTTTCATCTTTCTGTTGACAAATGTGCTTCCTACATCAATTCATCGGAAAGCGATCTGATTCGTCTACTACATTAGTCTTCTTCCTATCCTAAGCAAGGTTTTCGAATCTTTAATTAACAAACACTTAATTTCTCATCTTGAGCCTTATAACTTACTTTCTGATCATCAATATGGATTTTGATCTTCTCGCTCTACAGCTGATTTGTTAACAGTAATAACCAATAGGTTTTATTGTGCGTTAGATAAAGGTGGAGAGGTTAAGGCCATCGCTCTTGACAATTCTAAAGCATTTGATATAGTTTGGCATGCTGGTCTTCTCCATAAGTTTTTTTCTTACAGTTTATCTGGAAACATCTTTAAGATTATTGAATCCTTTCTTTCCAATCGTAGTATAAAAGTTGTCCTTGATGGACAGCACTCTTCTTCTTATTCTGTAACCTCAGGGGTTCCTCAAGGTTCAATCCTTGGCCCTATACTCTTTTTAATTTACATTAACAATCTTTCAGATATTTTCACATTTAAGGTAGCATTGTTTGCTGATGATACTACCATTTATTTTTTTCATGGTAAGAAGCCAACTCTCTCTGATTGCTTGGAGGGGGCATTTGAGCTTGAAAAGGATCTCACTTCTGCTACAGCATGGGGTTCACAGTGGCTGGTGAACTTTAATACAGACAAAACTCAATTTTTTTCAGCCAATTATTATCGCAATAATTTAGACCTTCCTATATTTATGAATGGTAATATACTCAATAAGTCATCTACCCTTCATCTTTTAAGATTAACTCTTACTTCTGATCTTTCTTGGAAACCATATATCAAATCCGTTGCAAAATTAGCATCGGCGAAAGTTACATCACTTTATCGAGCTCGACACTTTATTACTTTGGATTCTATTCTTTATCTCTATAAATCTCAAATCAAATTTGTATGGAATACTGTTGCCATATCTTATCATAGGGTGGTACTTCTAATGATGCCCTTTCTCTTCTAAACAAAGTGCAAAAACGCATTGTAAACAAAGTTGGACCTGCTCTTGCAGCCAACCTTCAACCATTATCACATCGTCATAATGTTGCTTCTTTTTCTCTTTTTTATAAATACTATAATGGGCACTGCTCTAAAGAGCTAGCATCTCTTGTGCAATCTATTAAAATTTGTTCTCGTGTTACTCATCATTCAATTAAGTCTCTTTTTATGTGACTGTTTCTAAGTGCCCTAAAAAACTCTTATTCCTCTAGTTTTTTACCTCAAACATAAAATCTTTGGAATTTGCTTCCTTCATCTTGCTTTCCTGATTCATATAATTTGAAATCTTTTAAGTCGTCTGTCAATCGTTATCTTGCTCTACAATCTTCATCTTTTCTCTTCCATTAACTTCCAACACTAATTAGTGGTTGCTTGCAGCCTTATTGGAAGCGAAGATGTTAAAAAATAATAAATAAAAAAGAAAAGAATAACTTAGTTATTGGTGAAGTATTTTGTTGTCTAAAAGTTTTTGATTTGAATAATAAATCTAAAAAATCTGTGCAAATAATTTTAAAATTTTTAGTTCATATCTAAACAACACTGGCAAATAATTATTTCCACAACTGAATTATCTTGATAGAGTTCTACACTTATCTCTAGAATAATTTGAGTTCTGAGAAAAACAACACACCCAACTCCAGAATAGTTTTAGTTCTTAAAAAAAACAATGCACCTATCTCTATCCCTATTTTATTTTAATAAAAGCATTTTGACTTCTAGTGCATATCTACTTAATAAGTAAAAATAGATTAACAAAATTATTTTGTTGTATCAATTTGTCAGAATCCTAACAGATATTTCGTGATTTAATTTTTCATGGTGACTTAAACATCAACTTTAAGAATTATATTACTTATTTTTAATTATAGTTTTAAAAAAAAGATTTCAATTTTGTTTACTAGGTTGTTGAGGATGGCTATCAGTTTTTCCAAAAGAGAAAGGTAACTATGGCTATAATTTAAAGTTCAAATTTTTAATTTTTAAGAGATTAATTTGTTTACATATTTTACAACTCTATAGCCTTCTCTTTTTCCTTATATATTTTACCTCTCACTTTATAGTCTCCTTTTTGTTTGCATATTTTACAGTTCACCCTATAGTAGGGTGGCCATTAAAATAACTTTTTTTTTAAATGTTTGCTCTCACCCTCTAAATGTGTCCAATATAATAAAATAATACTGAAATAAAAAAAATTTCAAAAAATAATTATTTCTAGGGGTAGATCAAGATCCATAAACATCAGATGGGTCCCTATAATTAAAAAAAAAAATTTCTTCAAAAGTATACCATTTTGGGTTTCAAAAGAGAAATTAAATAAAAATTTCCAAAATAGTTATAATTTTATTACAAAATTATAACTTTACTTCCTAAAAAATGACATTTTTTAACTAAAAATTAAGTGTATGCATTTTTACAAAAAAAAATTATTATAGTTATTTGTTTCTCAATGTTTTTTATAAAATAATGATTATTTTTTAAAACTTTATATAATTTCGCATCTTTTGAGACCCAATATGATATACATTTAATGAATTTTTTAATTATAGGGACCTGTCTGTTTTTGGATCTTGAGCTACCCCTGGACCCATCTGTTTATGGATCTTGAGCTACCCCTAATAATAATTTTTTTTTTTTAATTTTTTTTATTTCAGTATTATTTTATTATTTAGTACACATTTAGAGGGTGAGAGCAGGCGTATTTAAAAAAAATTATTTTAATGGCAACTCCTATAGTCTTCTCTTTTTTTTTTTTTTACATATTTTACCTCTCACCTTAAAGTTTCTTTTTTAACTCCATATTTTACAGCTCATCCTATACTCTTCATTTTGTTTGCAAATCTATCACCCTGTAATACTTTTTCTTTATAAAGCAGTTTATAAAGAATTTTGCGCAAGAGCTATATTATATGTCTCTGTTAGTATCACAATCGACTTGTTACTAAATATTGTGGTCTTTCAACAAGGCTGCAAGCAACCACTAGCAGAGTTGGAAGTTACTGGAAGAGAAAAGATGAATTTTATAAACAGACGACTTAAAAGATTGCAAATTTTATGAATCAGGAAAACAAGATAAAGGAAGCGAATTCCAAAGAACTGATGTTCAAGTAAAAAAACTAGACAAATAAGAGTTTTTAGAGCACTTAGAAATAGTCACAGAAAAAGGATGAGACTTAATTGAGTGACAAGTAACATGAGAGTTAATTTGTTGATGATACAAAAGGTGCTAGCTCTTTAGAACAGCGTCCATTATAGTATTTATAAAAAAGAAAAGGAGAAGCAACATTACGACGATGTGACAATGGTTGAAGGTTGACTGCAGAAGCAGGTCCAACTATGTTTTATGCGTTTTTGCACCTTGTCTAAAAGAGAAAGAGCATCAATCAAAGATCCGCTTTAGGTATGGCAACAGTATTTAATACAAGGACAGATTAGAAATTTATTGAGATAAAGAATAGAATCCGGAGTAAGAATATGGCGAGCATGATAAAGAGGTGCAACCTTAGCAGATGCTAATTTTGCAATGGTTTATATATATGATTTCCAAGAAAGTTTGGAAATAGGAGTTAATTCTTGTCTGTTAATACATGAATTTTAGCATTAGCAGTTTGGAATGGAAAGGAGTAGAGTTCTCATTTAAACCCTTGTAATTGAATAAGTAGTAGTTTATCAATAAAAGAAATAGTTAAGTCAGCTGTTTTTTTATTTATTAATTTTATTTTTCAATGCATTCAGGTCTTGCTTTTTCTGAGAAATATTTGTTAGGAATTTTCTTTTGTTTTTAAATTATTTCTCAAGACTTGAGTCTTTGTAGTGTTTCTATATTATTTGTCACGTTAAAAAATAAACACATGGTTCTTTAATAATGTATACAAAAGCAAGTGGCAATGAAGGTGATTTTACCCAAGATTTGTGGTACTTTATAAAAAAGTTGATAAACTTGCCTATTGGTAACTTTTTTAGCCTACCCTAAATTGTTAGGTGTTGTGTGTTATTCTTTTTATCACTGAGTTATCTTAAAAGAAAATATATTTAAACTGTTAAATAACTTGCGATGTCGCTATATCACGATATCTATTTTGTGACCAAATCATTATAAACTACTTATCATTATAAATACATTATAAATAAAAGATATATTTAAAAAGTAAAAAATAGGTTTCTTATAGAATTTAAATTAGTTTCGCTTTGACTATTATGATTCAAAAAATTAATTTATTAAATATAAATATCATTTAATAAAATTATATCTAATATACAAATTGCAACTATTTTTTTTTAGGTTTTAACGTAAAAGTTACAATTAGTTGTATATTATATGGCACAGTAGATTAAACAAAAGTTATATATCATATATGTTCTATATGACCGCAGTAGTTTAAGCAAAATTTATATATTATAAATGACATAATAGACTATAGTAGATTAAACAAAATGTTATATATTGTATATGATACAGTTGATAGCAAAAAGGTTATATATTATATATGACATAAGAAAAGAATATTATATATGACATAAGAAAAGAGTTATAGGTTATGTATGACATAATAGATTAAACAAAAAGTTATATATCATATATAAGATACAGTAGTTATACAAAAAGTTATACATTATATATGTTATAGTAGATTAAACAAAAGGTTATATTTCATATGAGAAAGTTACATAGTAGTTTGATAAAGTTGTGTAAATGTGTATATATTATTTATGATATAGTAAATATATGATAAATTATAGATATATTATATATGATATAGTAGATAAATATAGTGCTTTATAATTTAAATAGAGTATATATCTATAATACAATTACAGCAATAAAAAATAGGTATTGTAAACAATTAAGGTGTTACTTTAGGAAAATTTTAGAAACCTATTTTTTTAAATGTATTTCATCTGCAGTTGGTCACATTATTCAGTGCACCTAACTATTGTGGTGAATTTGACAATGCAGCTGCTGTGATGTCTGTCTCTGCAGAGCTGCTATGTTCTTTTTGTATCACAAAGGTATTGTATTTTTATTTTTTTCTCAATTCAAATTTGCTTTATTGTCAAGTTTTTGTATATTTAATAACATAGTTTATGTTACTTAAGTCGTTCTTCAGCTTTTAGACGTTGCACATTATTGCACGTTCAAACAAGTTGTTTAAGCCAAATGTTTAAAAGTGAGATTGTTTTTGATAATGTTTATAATAGACCTTTTAGTTGAAAAAAAAGCAATCACAGATCAGAATTTTAAATGATATAAAATACTAGAGTTGTACCGAAGCTTCGGTTTCGGCATGCCAAAGCTTCAGCACTTTTGCCGAAGCTTCGGCCGAAGCCAGGGTCAGTTTTTGCCGAATCATTGGCTTCGGCAGTGTTTTTTAATGTTATAAGCTACTGTTATATTGAACATATAATCATTTTATTGTTTACAATATAAATAAATAATAAAAAAATAAATAATAATATGATATAATAAAATGAAAAAAAATAAATAATAATAACAATATAGTATGCGGTACGCCGCAATGTATACTAATACATTGCGGCGTACCGCATACTATATTGTTATTATTATTTATTTTTTTTTTGTCTACTTATCAAAATCAATGGGTGCTTTTTTATATTTTAAGTTGTATGTTTGATTATATTCCGTTGTTGTATTTACTAAAACCTATTTTCATTGTAATATGTATTTAGATTTTGCGCTTGAAACGTAAGCTAAAAAAATTATTTCTTATCACCCCTCAAAAACATGAATAATAAATGATTTTATAACTACAGAATCAGATTACTTACAAAAAATTAATGGTTACAATGGCAAATATATGTACTGCAATTATAATATAATTGCAGTACATATATTTTGCAATTTGCAGTGCATATTATAATTGCAGTAAAATGTTAAAAAATGTTTTTCAACAATTAGTATTATCCCTAGATAGCTAGATAGCAAATTTTACTTATGTAAGTGCAAAGGTTTCGGCTTCGGCAGAATGACTTCGACAAGTTTTTAGCTTCGGTACATCCCTACAAAATACTGTTTTACTGCTGTTGTCTTTTCAAATGCATATTCATCCTGTCTTATGCTTACCGGTTACTCTACTACCTTGCATCAATATACTAACATATATGTTAAATAGGATGCTATATATGTTTAAAAAAATATGCTCAACTAAATATTTGATAAAATCAACTAAGTTAAATGTAATATGTCAAATAAAATATGTAAAAGTAGATAGTATTTAAGTAAATTTAAATTGGTTTAATTACGAAAGAAAAAGTTGCATTTTAATATAATTTTCTTTCGATACAAATGAAAAAAAAAAAATTTAAATACGAGTTAAAAAGTATTCCTTTAATAAAGCAGTATTATTTCAAATGAGTTTTAAAAAATTTAAACTTTTAACTTTTGATATATGCTTACGTTATCTTAGTTGATAACAATTTTACAAAATATAAATAATAGTTGACTAACTGCATTAACCACATTAAACTGAGCCTGTCGGACATTGTGGCATTGGGTTTATAATAGATCGCTTACTTTATAAGTGAAAGGTATGGATTTTATACTCATTACATTTCTAGATGTATAGCGCTCAACTTGTTTCAACCCTATAACTTCTAACTTTTTTCTCAACGATTCTCTCAACCCAACTTCAAAACACAAAACTTAACGCAGTGGTTGTGTTCGTTAAGTTTTGTGTTTTGAAGTTATAGGTTTCAGAGAATCGTTTATCATATAAACGCATTACACAAAAACAATACCAATATAGTAAGTTTCCCCTTTTTAAAAAAACTTGTAAAATTTTTTTAAAAAGGGGAAACGGTAGTACGTTGCGGTAGTACGTTGCGGTAAGTAGGGTAGTACGTTGCGGTAAGTACGGTAGTACGCAGCGGTAAGTACGTTGATCTTCGAATCTAGAGGTCCGAGGCTCGATGTCTGATCATTGCGACATCGATAAGGAGGGCGGCGTGAAAATAAGGTCTTTATTTACATCCTTATTTTATTTTTAGATTTTATTTAGATTTTAAATATTAGTCGTTTTAAAATACTTTTAAAACTTATGTTTTTAACTCACACAGTTATTTTTAGTTATTTATGCAAAGATACTTCTTAAAAACTAGTTTTAAAATTTTAGTTAATTGAATTATTTAAAATCTGACGACTTTCAACAGCACGACCTATTTGGACATTTCTCGTTTTTATTCTTTTAAAAAATTATTCGTTTTGATTCTTCATCCGAATAGGAGTCGGATTAATTTATAAATATCAGCTTTATTAATTGTGCTCATTTTATTAGTAATTATTGATTTAATAAATCGATAGAGAATTTAATTTTTAAAAAATATTATCACTTTAGGGGTACCCCCTCTGATTTTAAATCATAGTATTTTTACAAAAAATGATTATTGGTAACATGCTTATAATAAATATAAAATAATGCATATTTTTTTTTAATTTCATACTGTTGCCATGGAAACCACTGAAAAACCCTATAAATGACCAAAAAGTGACTTCACGCCGGCCAAAATACAAAGAAATAGGCATATATCCATAAATTAATATTGAACCATAATGTTGCCATAAGGCAGGACTATGATATGAGTGGAACAGATTTTTCATAACTTCTTGTCACCACCACAACAGGACGACCAAACTTCAAATTTTTTATCCTTTTATTGAAAAAAAAATTATATATTTTAATTAAAATCTAATCCATTCATATCATAGAGTGTAATATGGTAAACACTTCCTGAAAATTTTATAAAAATATCATACGGTTCTCCAAATATTTTGGTCGGCGTGCACAAATTGCTATTCTAAGAAAAACACTATTAAAGTATAAAGTTTAAATACAGAAAAGTTTTATTCATAAAATACGTAAAAAAAAAGTAAACCAAAATTTCACAATCCACCAAGTACATATAAATCACCATCTTTTTTAATTATTTTGTCATTTTTTCAAATTTTTTGACACTTAATATTTGTCGCTTTGACTTTTTATCAGGGCTCATTCTAACTTCGGCAACTTATTATTTCATTATTTAATGCTTTGCATCCTGCAATCATAAGAAAGCCTTGCTTTATGTCCAGTTGCATTAAAATACCTTTTGTTCCAATATCAAAGTAAGCTACAGCATCATATACACTAATTTCTAATTGGGTAAGCGAGGCAAATGTTTGTTTTGGTATGCGGTCATTATGCAAATCATTCTATTAAACGATTCATTAGCATTTTGTGTTTTACTATGCAAACATTTTTGTAATTCACTGTCTTGACATTTTTGTAACACACCTCTCTTCAAATATATATCTTAGTTTCATAATAACGCTTATTGGCAAACCCGGTCTTGTTTTGGTATACGGTCCTGGCTCATGTTGTTTCATTTATTTTATTATATTGTTATTACATTTGCATTAACCTTGGTAATTATATTTCGAAACATAAAAAGCTCTTAATTGCGCATAAGCAGTTAGATGAGACTTTTGAAGGCCTTGAGTAACACTGCAACCTTTACAATATCTGGACATGACTTCAACATATCACACTTTGCCACTAACAGTAGAAAAGACCCCGTTTAACGGTGAATACCCTTGCTTGTACCATGTACCATCGCAAGATACACAAATCAGTCAGTGTCATATATTTTTTGTAATTTATTTGCAGCATTTATCATGGTTTGTTCTGCTACAGTTTTTACATCTGTTACTATTACTTTTAGTATTTTTTTTTAAATTTTTTTGATCGTAAGCTTAGGTAAACTCATAATTGTATAAAACTTTTTTATGCCTGCATATCCATAGCTAAATAGCTAAATAATCATATGCAATCAATTATTCGCTTATTAATATCAAACCTTTTTTTTATTGTAATCATTGATAGAGGTGCAAAACTGACGAAGATAGTTGCAATCTTTTTTCAGACACTTAAGATATAACCATATTGTCTATTATATTCTTCGCCTAATGAGGTGGACTATCACATTCTGGATACATAAAAGAGCTCAAAATAGAAATTAAATCAGCAGCATTAATGATACGATAACCAGATATACTAGGTTTTAAAAGAAGTGCATCTTTTAAGTCTTCAACTTTACCAGATGAAGCGGACAAACTAAGTGAGTTTTCAGTATTTGGTTTCAAAACACAAGTGTAGCATTAAAATTTATTGAGGGTAACTAAATATTTACACTATTAGAAACACAGTCAATGTTAACAAATTTTATTTACACAATCTATATTAACAGATTAATATTTCCCATAAATCTTTTCTTTTTACAGTGAGTTTGTGTACATTACTTTACTCGACAACTTTTTCCCATTTTAACTAATAAAACTAAACTGATAAAATAACACAATGACTCAAAATTCTAGAATAATTCATAAAGAAGCTGTTCAAGCTTGTACATAATTATCATAACACTTGTTTGGGTTAAACTAGGTGATATGTATGATCATGGAAGTATAAAACAGATGGAAGTTCAACCGCATTGAAATTCTTCGGGACTATGCTTGTAACCTTTTGTTTCGTAAACAATAAGAAAATGGCATCAAGACTAGGTACGTTTATAATAATTTAAAAACATAGTATTTTGAAGGTTCGCCAATAATATTCAAGAAAAATATAAAAAATGGCGCAACGAAACGGCAAACAACAACTTTTTTTATAAAATTCATATTAAATGAATGGAGCACTACAAGAATGAATGGAATTATGATATACAGCTAATGAAACCTTAAACTTTAGTTATTTAGAAAACAATTTTCTTGATTTTTTAAAAATTGATTTAGTTGTCTTTTTAATCAAATGTCGTGATATAACTTGAAGCAAGAAAAGAAGCTTAAACTAACATGCTTTTAAAATCAAGTAGTTCTATTTAATTACCGAGTTTTGATAAACCTGAATAATTGCAATTACTAATGGTTAAATATGGTTAATGGGTAATGGTTTGCTGAATAATTGCAATTACTAATGGTTAAAACTTTTCATCATATCCCTAGAATAATTCATTTTTTGATGTTTTAATAAATATCGTTTTAGTGAATTTTGTTGCTTTTTGTCTAGTTAAACTTGTTTTTTTTTTTTTTTATTGTCGGTTACAAGCATACTCCCGAGACGACTTGAAATTGCTTTGATGTTTGCGGCTCGATGAACTTCTATTTGTTTTATACTTCCATGATATGATTTATACAGTTAATCAAATACGTTGCTATGGTGTTGCTAGGGATATCGCTTTAGTAGTTCATTCAAATAGACAATTGAAGATAGTTATATGTTAATATTCTACTTTTAAAACATTTTTTATGATAATATAGATAAAAGTAGTTAAAAATTAAGATTTTTTTTTTTGTGTGTGAAAATTTTGAAATTTTAAGGGAGGATAGCCCCTTAAGTCATCTAGCTTGCATCTTTGATGTTCGGATATATTCATTTAAACAATTCATGCTTTTATTAGAGGTTTGTACTGTCAAAACTATTTTCAAAATAGCTGTAAAAATAATTTTATTTTTAGCCAAAATCGGTGTTGGAGTTTGAAGAAGAAATGAAGAAAATTAAGAAATAAATCCTTAAAATTTTATGCTAAGAATTAATTTAAATTCGTTTTAAGAATGTCTTCTAAAAAAATTGTTATTCGTTACGACGGTGTTAACTTGCAATATTTTTGTTACTATTTTTCAGTAAAAGAACACTTTATTTTACCGTCAGAAATGTATTATTTTTTATTTGTAAATAAAATTGTGACATAAAACTGTAGTTTATTGTGGTTAAGAAATGATACCCTAATCCAGTGTTTGGGACTCTTAAAAATACCAACTATACTTACGATAATTAAATTTTTTTTGCCATAAGATCATACTAGCTAAATATTTTCAAATATTATTAAAGATTTTTGAGAGTTAAATTCCCTAATTTTAAACCATATCGATCGATAGACTTGATATGGTACTTAACAATTATTTTATTGATAAAAATTAAAATATTACATAGACGTTCATTTTGTGAATGTTAACCTTGCATCTGTATTAATGCATAAATTTCACACATTAAACTATCTACACGAAAAGCAACAAACAAGCAAACATCAAACAAACGCCAAAACACTATTTTTACAACTCTTATTCTTGGAAAGTCAAGCGTTTTTTTTTTTTACGTGTGTTTATTTGTTTTAGTTGAAGTACGGTTCTAGATTTTAAAAAGGCGGCTTCTTACCTTTTTTTTAATTCTCACATAACATTTCGTTCTGGAATTCAAAAAAAATTGTTTACAAACTTTAATCATCTCTAAGAAGTAACTTGTATTTGGACACATTTTGAAAAATTAACTTCACTGTTCATCCAAGGGTCTTTCAAAAAACTATTTATTTTTGGCTTAATATTAGTCAAACCATTGCACAAAGTTAAGTGAAGAAGGCTCGTCATCTCTAAAGCTGATGTTTCTTCCGTTTCCTTGCTCCTATTTTGACTTGAAAGAAAAAAATCAATTCAAAAACCAAAAGTAAACTTTTGAAAAATTATTCCGGAAAAATGTTTTAATTATAACTGGTGGTCGATCTGCATAAAGAAAATATATTTTCAAAGCATCAAACAACTGAATCAGTTCTTAAAGGTGGAAATATCTAGTTTTTGAGTAATGGAATAGTTCTGATAACTGATGTCAACATAATCGTATAAATTTTTTAAAACTTCTGTTCTGTGTATACAGAAAAGCAAATCTGTACCCCAGCAGTCAACTATCGTAACTGCAAAATTGCTGATTTTCAGGTTTTTATTTTAACGGTCACAGGGAGACCGTCTTGTTTTAGTGGTAAAATATCATAAGCGTGGGCATTACAGAAAGTTAGAAACCTGGAGGTTTAAAAGAAGTGTAGCAACTTCATTTGGCTCTCCTGTAAAATTTGCCAAATGTGAGTTACGAAAGTTGACCTCTGAGGTACAGAAATATATAAGGTAGAGAGGAGCTAATTATGCATAATTAATTAATTTAATTATGCATAGGGGAAAATTGAGAAATTAAAATATATCAAAAACTACGTATCGCATGACAAAACGTCTAATGAATAAAAGTTAGGGAATAAGAATGGTAAAATGCACAACAAAAGGTTGTTGGACAGCAATTGAGTAAGATGCACAGTAAGATGTCTTACTTGTCGCTTTAAAACATGTTTAATGTGTCACCTTTTCTAGTTAGGGTAAGTTGAGCAGCTTTAAAAAAAGTATATAAAAATGAACTATTAAACACAAAGGAACTACTTTGATAAGAAAGAATTTTATGGTACTTGCTGCTTTTTTATGAATTTTATGGTACTTGCTTGTATGGTACTGAATTTTATGGTACTTGCTTGTATGGTACTTAGAATGGTATTTTTATATTTTTTAATACCTTCATACTATTAAATTTTTTCTTTTCTTTTACTTGCGTCATTAAAGTGTATAAAAAACAAAAAAAACAAAATTTAAATGTAGACATGCTTACTGTGAATAATAATTTTATTGATGATTTATCCAAGTTCCATATCATTCATATTCGATTTACTCATGCCAAACCTCTATTTATTGAAATGAAAGTTTTAAATATTTATAAGCCTAATATTTTTAACGTTATATGCTTTATGTTTAAATGTAAAAACAATATTTCTCCAATATTTCTCCTTCTCCATTTCTACCTTTTCATAATTTGTATAGCAAAAAATAAAAAAATAAATACTTTTTACGAAATGATAACGACATTCGTCAATCAGCTTATCAAATTAATTCTGGAAAATACTGTATTTCATTTCGAGGAGCATTACTTTAAGATAAATTAGTTTTAAAGAATTTTGACTTTTTTAATAGGTTAGCTATCACTCTTTCAAACAAAAACTTAAAAAAGTCATTTTTTTATTAGATGATATATCTATATTCTTTTAATTCTTTTTTTTTTTATCTTTATATTAAACACTGCATTAATAAAATTTATAATTTAACAATTTGTAAATAGTTGTTTAACACTTTTGTTAAAGGTATCTTAAAACTGTATAACGCATCTATGTATTTATAACGGAATCTTTTTTCTTTTTTTCTTTAAATTTGTTAATGTTTTCAATTCTTAATTCTTATTTATTTGGTATCTTCAAGTATATTAAGTATATAAAGTTTATTAAATACGAAATGTTAACACGTAAACTTTTTAGCGGTTCTCGACGACAAGACCTTACGGTCTTCTGAGAGTTCCCGCGTTCTTTTATTTCTTAATAACGATCATGCATATGTATATGTATATATATATATATATATATATATATATATATATATATATATATATATATATATATATATATATATATATATATATATATATATATATATATTGTTAACGAATATTTATTAAATCACAAAGTTGTAAAATTAAAGAACAAAAAACAAAACAAAAACAAAAATTGTTCGTTGATTGCTTAACTTCCCTCACACAATGGTTTAGCTTAGCCCGCTGTGTCAGATTGAGCAGATTGGTAAACTTTAGGCAAAATCTTCTCAAACAAATCAAAAGATATACTTTTTTCTAGATCAATTTTTAACTAGCCCCGCTCTATCCTATTGCCAAGACAACAGTTTTAACATCAATCTTTCATTGAGTCTGCGCCATTTTGAATACATTTATGCAAAACGTGGGCAGGACATTTAACACCTACCAACGGTTCTAATTTCTAAGGCTTCCTTCAATTACGAAAACAAAATTTTTCCTAGTCTACAGTTAATAAGTTCCAAAATTTACTTAGCATTCCCGTACGAAAATTTCCCATGGGAATTTTAGAAAAAAAACCCATGGAAAAACCATGGGTATTTGGAACACGTTCCCATGAAAAAACCATGAGTTTTCCATGGAAAAACCATGAGTTTTCCATGGAAAAACCATGAGTTTTCCATGGAAAAACCACGAGTTTTCATGGGAAACACATGAATTTCCCATGAAAAATCTTTAAGTTTTTCATGGAAAAGTGTTCCAAATACCATGGATATTCAATGATTTTCCATCCATGGAAAAACCATGGAATTTCCATAGGTATTAGGAACACCTTACCAAGGAAAACTTATGGATTTTTCATGGTAAAAAAGCATGATTTGTTTTCAAGTTTTTTTATCTAATGTTATTTGAATTGTCATATTAAATCATAAAAGCAAATTTTGTCCCACTATTATTGAGTTCTCTTAATCTATGAGATCGCTTTCTCCAAATAAAATCAATAAACAAAATAAAATTTAAATCTTGTTAAATCCTACAAATCTTTGAAAAATAATAGCTATAATGCACCTAAAACATCAAAACTTGACTTCCCCGCAATATTTAATGCATGCATATGTATAACATACTGAAAATAAATAAAACAAAAAATTACAAGTAATATAATACTATAAGTGATATACATAGTGATAAACAATTGAAATTTATCAAGAAAACAATTTTTACAGAAAATAAAACAATTTACATGTTTATTATTTTATATTAACTATTTGATAAAAATAGTATATATAAATTTGATAATAACTTCAAGTTTTAACAAGTTAAAAAGAACCATCAATACAACATATTTAATTCAAAAAAACATCAAGCCCATTTATAATGTATGCGTCTCATCAAGCCCATTTATAATGTATGCGTCGTATTTATATGCGTCTGTACTTTATCTGTAGAAACAGGTAGATGTTAAACAAAGTACCATTCACATATTCATATTCATTTTTTTTCACCCTAGTTAGTCTCATTCTCCATTTCACCAATCTAGACAATACATCATACAACTATTATATACATTCTAACTAGTTTTCTTTATTTACTAATTCATTTTACTTATAATTATTATCTATTATAACTTACTTTATAATTAGGCATTATACACAATTATAAATGTTGCCAAATGTTAGGTAACATTTATATAGAAAAAAGTAGCAATGAATATATCATTATTTATAAATACAAATTATTAGATTGTTACCTCTTTTTTGCCTAAGCTATCTGCATTATGTACAACATCGTTTATATTTCCAGTCAAACATTCCTGCCTAAAATAACTTTATTAAAATGATTTATTCAAACTAATACATATATAAATGTTACCTGCATGTTAGAAACATTTATATAGAACAAGGCAGCAACAAATATTATATTATATATTTACTTTTGTAATTTAAAAAAAAACTTACTTCTTTTTCTGAGCTATCTGCATGATGTACAACATCATTTACAAACTTGTTTTCTTCACGTCCTTCCCTTTTTTAATATATTATAAAGCACAGGACTTGTTAATGAACGGCTAAATAAATAAATTAAAAATTTCATTTAAATGAAATGATAAGGTTAAAATGAAAATATTTATACACATATATAAATTTTACCTGCATGTTAGTAACATTTATATAGAATAAGGCAGCAACAAATATAGTATAATTTATAAATTGTAATTTTAAGTAAAAACTTACTTCTTTGTCTGAGCTGTCTGCATGATGTACAACATTATTTATATTGTCAGTCAAACTTACCTGCTTATAATGCAGTAATTTAAATAAAATGATAAAGTTAAAATAAAAGAACTTACGCACATACCATTAAATTCAAAAATTTATTATATTTTTACTTCACTTTTTAAAACATAACAAATATGTAATTTATAAAGTATAGTAATGTAAAAGCATAGTAAATATCAAAGTGTGTGCATAAATTAATTTATTTTAACTAAAGACGAGCACTTTACATCAGTTAAATATAAACAAATAAAAATAATTGTATTATAATAAATAATAGTGTATTATTTATAAACATTGCTTTTATATGCTTATATTTAACTATGAAGTAAAATCTTGTGCATTAAGTAAATTTCCTTACTGATACTTATAAAATATTACCACAGTTTTCCTTCTCCAACTAAGTGGTTCTTGGAACATCCTTACAAGTTGAATCCCAAAGATTACGTTTATATCTTTTCTGGTTTAAACTCAATTCACCATTTTATTTTGACAGCTTTTGAACTATTTTTAAAAATATTAAATGCATATAAAAACTGACGATGTTATAAACAATATAAACGATGAATAACATTATTTATATTGCCAGTCAAACCTGTTGGCTTATAATGTAGTAATTTAAATAAAATAATAAAGTAAATATAAAAAAATTTATAAACATTATTTATATTTCATTATTTACATATTCTAATAATTCTAAAGAAAAAACAACAACAAAAAGACAAAAACAACTTAACAGAACTAAAATTGAATAGAACATTTATCATAAAAAAATGTTTTTTAATACTTAATGAACATTTATGATACAATAAACTTCAAGCATTTTTATGTAATCTAAGGCTATTATAAAAAAAAATAAAAAAGATCATACTAGTTATTTTTTGTACATTAGTTATCTAATCTTATTATCTTAGTTATCTAATCTTATCTAATATACTGCTTGTATATTAATATTTTAGATAAGTTTCTTTAATATGTTCGATAAGTTTTATAATAATAATTATACTAGTTTGAATGTACATTAAATTACACTATGTACATTAATACACTAGTTATTTAATGTAGATTAAAACTAAACATTTATTTGTTGTAAACCAAATAATAATTATTTGGCAAATAATTTGCCAAGTAGGCATTAAAATTCAAACTGGTTTACTTGACATACTTGCTATACTATTGCAAGTTATGCAAAGTACGCAAAGCTACTGGAAACAGTTAAAATAAGTATATGCATAAATGATATATAATTAAATATAATTAAAAATAATCCATTTTATAATATGATAAATATATCTAGTTGTTTATGTCTGTATGTTTAGTTTAAATCATATAAATGTAATGCATTATAAAAAACATATAATACATAGTCTTATTAAACACAGAAAAACAGAAGAATGTAGTAAGTATTGTTTTCTAAAGTTAAAAATAATCATAACTCTACGAGTTATGATTATTTTTAACTTTATTTGTAACAACCATGGCGCTGAAAAAAAAAACATGGTTCACCCATGGAAATTCCGTGGGATTTCAATTTTCATGAAATTTACCCATGGAAATTCCATGGAATTCCCGTTTTCCATGGTTTACTCATGGAATTCCATGGGTTTTCCATGGAATATTTCCGTAAGGGTTGTCTCCAGCAACAGCAACACAATTAGACAACAGTTCATATCTTTCAAAATATTTTGAAATATAGTTTCAGAGGTTTCGTTTGATGTGCTATCTAATTTGAGAATTTTAGTTTGAATTCTTCCTGCCCCCAGCTTAAGTATTGAATAACGATTTGGATATATTTTCTGTGAATCATGATTACTAGCATCTGTCGAAAGACCAAAACATGAAACGTCATCTAATCATTTCACCAGTTGATCAACAGGGGGCCAGTTATCTGGTTTATTATTGCCTCAGTTTTTGCATCACTCATGCAATATTTCTAGAGATTTCTGAATCTTCAAACAATAAGTACATTAAATTACTACTAAAAAAAAGTACTACTACTAAAAAAAAGTACAAAAAAGCTGCACAGACCATTGAGTTGTAAAACTGATGACGACAAACTGTAGAAAATGCTAAAGTTTCTTTGGCCACATGGATTTTCTGCAACACTTTTGATATTTTAGGATAAAAAATGACATCAGCTTATTTGATGACACAGACAAATGAATCAGGTTTTTATAATTCTCATTGTGATCATGGCCTTCCATGTCAAAAGCTAGATTGTTAGTGACGGAAAAATTATACACTTTTCCTCACTCTCGCTCTTTAGCGAAACATGGGTACTTATTTTTCATAAACTCGAGAACTTGAGAATTTATTTCATTTTTATATAGAAAGAAGCGGTTAAAGTGTTGTTTTAACTAATGAAAATAGCAATATGTTTGACTACTTATAGCGACTACTGACAAAGCATGGATGCTTACTTTTTATAAACTCAAGAATTTGAGAATATGAGTGACTACTTACAACCGGATTGCAAAAACACATAAATTAACAAATATTTTATATACAAGAGCAAGGAACAAACTTTCGTTATATTCGAAAAGAGTAGAACCTCTGAAGAACTTGAATAGTTATACTGTTTTTAGAACAATTTTTTATAAAATTCGTTTTAAATTTTTTTACTTCGAATTTTTTTCATCAAATATTGTAATTAATAAAGACAGATAAAATATTGTAAAAAAAAAAAACTTCAAAAATTTCAAACATATAATATTGTAAAAGCCGGACATATTGAAAGTTTTTATCTTCGAGACAGAGTACAAAAACCCAAATACGAGGACATGTCCTTCATTTGCCAGACGTCTACCAATCCTATCCATTCCTATCTTCATATAATGAAGGCCTTTTTATACCAAATTTCTGTCAATTAAATACTTGTTACTTTAGTTCAGTGATTCCAAAGTGGTCTATATAGACCCCCAGGGGTCTTTAACAACCTGCAAGCGGTCTACGTCAGCCGAATAAATATTTGGGGGTCTATGAAATGAAAATGGGGGTCCACGATAGTGGATCTCAGCATACACTGATAGTATCTATTTACTTACATTATACTTCCCCACTGACTCACTAAATTTAATCAATCTTGACCGAAAAATAATCGCGGCAGAGCAGACACGCACAAAGCACTACCATACCAGTGGCGGATTAAGACTTCTTGGGGCCCGGGGCTATTTTTGTTTTTGGAGGCCTTTTTATGGGCCAGAGCCTAAAAATAAAAAAATAAAAAAAATCCTCTAAAATTTTGGGGGCCCCTAAATTTGAGGGGCCCGGGGCTATAGCTTCCCCTAGCCCCCCTTGATCCGGCACTGTACCATACGTGACTAGCTAATTGACTAAATTTGTTTCCCGCATTTGTTTATTAAAAGTCTTTTTAAACTGTTGTTGTTCTCCAACTTGAAATTCAATGCCATTAAAATTTTTATATTTGACAACATTTTTATTCACAAAGAAGAAGAGAAATGAAAGAGTTATTATAATAATAGAAAATATTTAATGACTGTTGTGTGACGTGAATGATATAATACGGCTGTGTTTTTAATAAAAATTATAGAGAATCATCGTTATTTCGTTTGAGAGTGCCGAAGAAAAGTAAGCACAAATTTTTTCATTACATTTTAGTTTTGTAATCGTAATTAGCAAAGATAAATAAATTACGTGAATCATGACTTCAGTTATTGGTAGTTTAGTATTTAAATCATACAAAATTACATGAGCACATTACATAAGTAATATTCATAGTGTTGTTCTGACATTCATTTATTATGGCTGTACATCTATACCTAACATAAAATCTAAGATTATACAATTTAAATTTGACTTTGATTTTTAAATGCTGAACTTTATGTCTTATAAATAGAGTAATTTTGCCCACAGATGACTGATGCCATGCCCGAATGTAAAAAGAAATGTAGACAGTACATTGTTGATTATTTGAAGTTTGGCTTAATTCCATCAATGACGGACAAACGATTGTCTATGTGTCTTTTATGCAACAAAATTTTAAGCAATGACGCTGTGAAACCATCTAAGCTGAAGGATTATCAGAAAAGATGTCACCCGGATAAAACAGATAAAGATTTGAAATACTTTCAAACACTTATAGGTAAACTTTAGAATAGACCCACGCTGGACAGAATGTTCGCTTCGACATCACAAAGAAACGATTATGGTTTACAAGCGTCTTACAACATTTCGCTACTTATAGCAAAATCCGGAAAACCGCATACTATCGGGGAGAAGTTAATTATGCCAGCCGTTGAAGAGGTTTTAAAAACTGTTTTACACAAACCTGCATCTAATATCATTAAAAGAATTCCCTTAAATAACAATACTGTTGAAAGGTGTATTGATGAAATGAGTTCTGATATTAAATGCTTCTTGTGTAATTATTTGCAAACGACACATTTCTCTATACAACTGGACAAGTCAACTTTACCTGGTAATGCATTATTATTATTGGCATTTGTTCGTTTTTTTATGAATCAAGAAATTCACGAAGAACTGCTCTTCGCAAGAACGTTGACAACCGACACTAAAGGTGAATCAATATTTAATGTTTTGAAGGATTACTTTATTGTAAAAGCAATCGCTTTATACCATATCAGTAGCTACAGATGGAGCACCTGCCATGCTTGGACGTTATCGTGGATTTATAAGCTGTTTAAAACAAAGTGTGCCAGGGGTGTTAGCAATACATTGCATCATCCATCTGCAACATTTGGTTGCTAAAATTTTGAGCGCTAGATTGCATCAATCTCTTCAATTATTCATTCACGCAGTAAACCAAATTCGAAGCAACACGTTGAATACGCGGTTATTTGTACAGTTGTGTGAAGAAAATGACAAACACTTTCATCAGTTACGTCTTTACACTGAAGTACGCTGGTTGTCGAAAAGCTTATGTTTAATAAGATTCTTTGGACTTTTTGAGACTATTTTAGAATTTTTGGATACTAAAGATAAAATTTTAAAAAACAATTTAATAAAATAGAAAACAGACATTGTCTACTTAACAGATTTGTTTACAAAATTTATTATGGTTAACTTACAGTTACAAGGCGACAATCTAAATTTGATTAAAAAAAAATCTATCTTATCAGCGTTTTTTACCAGAGTTAAACTAATGAAGCAAAATATTGGACGGGGCAAACTTTCCCAGTTCCCCAGTTTGTCACAGACAAACTGTCCCTAAAACAACGTTTTAACCTACGTTAATTACATTTAACAAAAAAAATATACTGCTTAAAAACACTTAAATGCCCTCTATTCAAATTTCGTAACTAGGTTTGAGGATGTTTTGACTATGGTTTAAAAAAAAGAAAAGTAAGCAGATTAATTATTATAGCTACAGTTATAATTTAAAGGAAATAATCTCTGATCTCTATTTTACTCATGATTAATTATTTTTGATTATTAATGTCGCAGTAAAAATGCACCAACAGGAACGTTTACAAAAAAGTTAATCAAAAGAAAAAATTTATCTCTGGTTCTTGGGAAATAAATAAAGCTTCTGCGTTTATTTAGTTTATAACACATTCTTGAAAACTTTTTATAAAATAAATGACGGTTATTTTCCTTAATGTAAGTTAGACTATGCACAAACTACATATACTAAAAAACTAAAACAATTATGAAAGAAAAATTTTTTACAAAAGCTATGCAAAAAAATTTGGAATACATAAAAAAGATTACTTCAAATTACTTCAATTTACTGGAGACAAACGAGCTACTTCAATTAACTGGAGACAAACAAACTTAATTTAAAACCCACGGGGGTAATCCGATAAGACATACAGTCACTCGGTGTAGTTAAGGCACTTTTAAAATATAATAGCAACTGTATGATATTTTGTTGACTACGACATATTTCCGTTAAATGGTCTGGTCTGTGAATTATGAAAATACGAAAAATATTAAAATGATAAATTTTGCGGTAACATAAAATATAACTGTTTGTAGCGAAAAAACCCAGACCGAAAATTCTTTTTTTTTTTTTAAAAATCATCTTAAAATCACAATCGCTCGTCCAAATTTGAATAAGATTTTATATTAATACGTTTTTTAGGTGAAATAAACATTATAGTTTAACAAAATGATCTGTTCTGATTGTTTATTGGCAATTTTCCATATTTATAAGCTCTTTCTTGGTAGTATTTTTAGTAAAAATTGATAGAAATTGTTTTTTGACAACTATATATAGTTAATATACGTCAGAATCGATTCGAACTAGAATCAGTAGTAAATTAAGGAACTTTTTCAAAAGATTTAAACTAAATTCATGTTAATGCCGATGAGCGGAATTGATTCCGTTCTTCAGCAAAAAGACTCCGAAATAGTGTTCTTTAGATTCACTATTACGGGCAGTAAAAGAGTTTTAAAAATTATATAAAAAAAAGAAAAGTTTTTTTAAATATTATAAAAACCTTAAGCAAAAAAAATTATAACATTTAAAGATCTTGTTTGGACATAATATGCTGACAAAACCATGCTAATTCCAAATGAAAGTATTCGAATATTTTGTAAATCACCTTAACTACATTGAGCATGCAGATAACTTGTGAGCATGCAGATAACTTTTGAGCGCTAAAACTTTAATATGTAAAAATGAACTTTTCTCCGATTCAACTGATAGGTAGCGAATTAAAATATTTTTTTTATTAATTGGTCTAAGTTTAGATAAAAATACTTCTTCTTGTGAGTAAGAAAATAAATGGTTGTATTATAATGGTAATAGAAACGTTTATGTTTTTGCCGAGTAAATATAGAGTAAACTGGGTAGGAGCAAACAATTTAGCTTTAAATTCAAAAAGTTTTTAAAGAAAAAATATTGATCCTATTTTTTACATTATATAAATAAGAAAAAATGTTTTGAAAATTTTTAAAAAATCGCTTTTAATGAAAAAAAAAACGTATACTTTTCTTCTTATACTAATAATTGGAGAAAGGTAAACTAGTTTAGTTTTAAACACAGTTGATTAGGATATTTAGAAAATCAATTCAAATTAATTAAAAATAATATGAGAACTAATTTTACGAGAAATTATGTTTACAAAAAAACTATTTTGATTAAATATACCAAAAATAATTTAAATAAATTTGAGTTATTACATGGTAACAACTCAAAAGCAGGTCCGCGGCAATTTTTCATGCAAAAAAAATTTTTCACCAATTTTGTATTTTTGGGTAAAAAAAAGATCGTCAAAGCCTAAAAAAACCAAAAGCTTCACATTGGTACCACATAATGTTTTGAGTTGGCAATGCTTCTTCCAAAAATGTTGGAACACTTCTGTGAAGTGTTGCGTCATTTGATACGTTTGAGCAGGAGTCACTTGTTTTTGTTTTTAATGTTCTTAATTTTGATTGATCAACTTTGCTAACATCAATTTGAAACAAACCAGTGTTTTGAAATCCAGCGTTTATTTGTGTTCGTGTAAACAGGTCACAGTTTTGCTTGTAGTTGAATGAAATTTTCTTGTGTTGTTGAAACTTGTTGAAACTTGTTGAAACTTGCAGCTGCATAAAAACTGTAAATAATTTTACGCCAAACTCATTTAACGTGACAACATACACATACGTCTAACGCTTGAAGTATGTGGGACAAATGAACCAATAAACATATCAGCCTCATGTTATTGTCAATGTAAATACGTGTAACATCGTAAGTAACACGTACTACGTGTCCGTCCAAGACTAAAATGTAAATGTAATTAAAAAAATTATTTGATTAATTGAATACACTACACAATTTAAGTTGACCAAACTAATTAACTGAATTGCCGGTATGAATATTTTATTGAGTCATCCAATAAATTGTTTCCTTTTCATCTAACCCAATTTGATGTTATAAATACGGTGTTTGGTGGTTCCAATGCGTACCAGTTATTGTACAGACGTGATATTGATTTGTAAACTAACAATTGTGGCGGAATGATACCGGTAGCGCTGAAACAATTACGGAATGTGTAATTGATTTTTTCGTTGTTACTAACCGATTTTAGAGGGGCATTTAGCACCAAGCCTGTAAATTATATGCAGCTTATCTTGATCTCCTGAAAATTTCGTTGAAATTCCACAAATAGCATGAAGTTTTATTGTTGATATTTGCTTCAAGAAATTGTTTTTGAAGTGTATTGTTTTTGATGTATATTTTGTCCTCGGTACAAGAAGAATCTCTGAGAGACAAAATATTGCCTGCTACTCTGACGCCGTTTGGTGGAAATAGATGACTTTAATTTGCAGATACCAAATAACCCCCCAAATATTGTGATTATATCTGCGAATGTTCTGTCGAATCCCTAATGGGCTAAACAAATATGTACTGAAACAAGAAAAAATTCACATGCTGTACTTAGCACGGTAGTTGCACCTCTACCATATGATGGGATTTTTATTGTGCACACGTTTGTGAAAAGTTGCATTAAGTATGTTGTATGCCTTTGAAGCTATACTGAGTGATATTTCGCCTTTTTTGATTTGTTCTACTGCAAGTTGCGATTGCTCTTCATTTTAAGTTGTCTTTGTTTTAAAAGTTTTTAGAGAGAAAGCTAAGGCCATCATTTTTATTTAAGTTTTGATTAATTAGCAATTATTAATTAATTTAGCCGCGCTCATCTCAATGCGCAAGTGTGAGCAATTAACAAGTTTATTTTTCCCCAAAAAACATTTATCTTGGTTTTGCGCTCATAACTTTTTCCTAGCACTAGCAAATTCAATTTTGAAATGAGAATCTTGATCTCCATAAAACTTTCTGCAAAACAACTTTTTTGGTTAAGCAAAATTTAATTTTAGTTTCGGGAGTTTTAAAATTTTTTTTTTTTTTTAAAAAAAACATTTTTTTTTTAGAGAGTTTTAAAGTTTGCTAAAACAAAAATTAATTTACATCTTAAGATTGATAACAAAATTCTTTACTTTTTTTTATTTTTAAAGATTTTTTTGTTTTCAATAAATGCAAAAGAAACAAAATAGCTATACCATTTACTTTTTTTTTCATTTACTCTTACGCAGTTTACTCTAGATTTTGTAAAATTTTTAAGATATATACTGATAGCACCGACAAGAAGAAAACTTATTATTATCTTGTCGCAAAGCCCTAATATAAGTTCCGTAAATATAAAGAATGATAAAACTTGAACATTATATAAAATAATATAGAACAATTTATTTTATGAAGAAATCTTAAAATCATGATTAGGCATCATTTTTTGTAAACTATATTAAAAAAAAGTTTATTATTTTTAAAGTTGACTAAGGACTACTAATTTGAGTTGTATTCTATAAACCCATATTACCCCGTTTATTAGGGTAATGTTACATTTTAATTTTTTTGTGCAATTAAGATGACAATAAATAAAGGAGAATTATAAGAATTTTAAACAAAGTTAATTTACAAAAGATTTTTTCCAATAAATCAGGTTGTTCTTTGAGGTTTTACCTTCCATATATTTAATATAATCTTTCTGTATTACATTTTTGTCAAGGAGAACATCAAGAAGTGATGCTTCTCTTTTCATATCAAAATTCTCAATACGAAGTTTTAAAAGTTTTAAAGGAAATTTATCTCGTGATAGAGATGTTAAAAAATTATATTTTGTTTTAGGTAAAATTTAGCGACAATTTGTTTGGTTTAAACCATTCAGCAAGACTTTGCAGCTCTTTATGTATATTTTATTATTTTTTCTTAAACTTCTACTTTTATTTTTTATATATTTTCACAAGGAAAAAGTATAAAACTGATTAAAGTTTGTAAGGAAGAATAGAAATCATTTTGGAATATTTTCTTCTAGAGTTTGCTCGAAAATATTTCTCTGTTCTTTTACGTCCCACCAGTATTAAGAGTATTTCAATGTTTTCCCAATATCTTTCGGGATTTTATCCCACACCACTACAAAACGTATTCAATTTTTTTATTCCTTAACTTTTCAAAACATAGTCCACTGATATGACACACCTGCTGGACACCATCTACAAAAGATTGTTTTACCGTGGGATTGTTAAGCTTAGATTCAATAATATCATTCGTCAATTTGTTAAAACGGATTTCAGATTGAACAAGAGTGTGAACAGCTGCCCTAAAATTAGATATTTTTTAAGCAATGTTTATTCGATCAAGTGAGGCAAATGTAGAGTGCTCTGTATCCCATGCGAACCCCAAGTGTTTGAGTCTATTGTGCAAATATATTTGATTACCATCGAGAGATATTGTGCAGCTTTGTAACTGTCTTTTAACTGTCAGGAGGAACTCTGTTTTACCATTGTTTAGTTTTATGCAAGTTGAATTGCAGTATACATTACAAGTTTCTAATAATTTTTCCAGACCAGATAAAGTTGAGCTTAAAAGTATAATATCATTAGCATACGCTACCACACCAGTGGTACCAATTTACCATATATAGACGTATCTGCATTACTTTCATAGTTTTGAGAAGGTCCTGGGTATAAATATTATAAAGGTGCGGTGAATTGAACCTTGTCTTACTTTGAGATAAAATTCATTTGATTTGCAATCTTAGTATGAGGCAGTTGCACTGCTATTATAGTATAATGAAAAGATTATCCTAACTATAGGGAAAAGTAGTTTTTTATTGAATTACAATTTTTCAAAAAGAATTTCCCAGTTTCAGTTACCAAGGGCTTTTTTTGCATCCATGGAGCATAAATAAATAGGTGAATTTTTATTGCATGCAGGGTTGAAGAGTTTTTACTGCATGCAGGGTTGAATAATATTTACTGCATACAAGGTTGAAGAAATTAAATTTAAATTTATTTGTAGCTGGTCAGTGTTCTTGATGTCCGGACATATATGAAATAAAATCAGATAATCTAGAATTTTTGTAAAAATAGGTATTATACTAATACTTTGATAGTTGGTTGGGTTAACCAAAAACTTTTTGCATGGTTTAACTTGCGGTATAATGATAGATGAAGTCATTGATTTTTGAGTCCATCCATAATTGATTGAGAAATTAAGGAAACTATATAGCCATTGCGTAGATGCGTCACAGTTTGCGAGTTTCAAATGTTCAGCTGAGATACCAAATGAGTTGCTAGACTTGTTTGATTTTAAGTCTAGAAATAGCTGCTTTAATATTTTGTTCACTTATTATTACATTACCATGCTTCGCGCAAAGTGTGATTTTTCGAGTTATATTGCTTTAAGTTATTTGAGGAGTGTTTAATAATTTTTCAAACATATTTGCAAATTCTGTGGTGATAGTTTCGTTATCCTTTTTATTGTTTGTTGTGGATAATTGTGAGTTTATATCTTTTTTAATACTTCTAAAAGCATTCCAAAAGTTTTTTGGTTTGATATTTTTTACAATTACAACGTATTGCTTGTAGAGTTAATTTTTTTTTTTTTTTTTTTTGAGCTAACTTAACGGCTTTCCGGTAGTTTTTTTGAGCCATTTTATACATATTATAATTCATAGAATTAGAATATTTTTGAAAATCGGAATCTCTCTATTTACAAAAATGGTACGACAGAACCTTTTAATTTCGGCTTAAATCAGGAGTCCACCAGGGTTTGGAATGAATAAATTTTTTTTTCTGGTTGTGGTATTCGCAATGAGCTGCAGTCGTACTATTGATAATGATTTTATAAATTTGGTTTACCTCGTTTTCATAACTGCCAGTTGATCATTATATGAATTTAAAAAACTTCACTGATTTCATTTTATATCATTAAAAGCATAAGAAAAGATTTTTTTCACGTGCAAACAAGGTTAGATATAAATTGATGTCCATATGATAAGTAGCTGATAAACTATTTAAAATCTATACATTTATTACCGTAGTTTTCTAGTTGGGTAAATAAAGTATAATGATTGAACATGTCTAAATCTTTGAAAACACATAAAGTATATTTACTTTCATCAAAACTTTTTTTGAAACAAACGCCTGCTTAGGAAAAGAGGTGAATATATTTACATAATACTGCTAATGTGTATAAGTTATCACTTGCGAACACATGAGAAAATAAAGCAACGTTTTAGTCATTCTTTTTCTTTGAACACTTTTTTTATTATCATTATTAATTAGCTCTTGACATTAGTATGATCCTGAATCTCAGGCTTAAATTCATTTATAGACATTTTTGCTCAAAAATATTTAAGACTTTTTAATGAAGGAATTTTAATAAATAAGGCTAATAAACACTCATTCAATGTAGACAAAATAATAAATATTTTATTCCATAAAAAATTACAAGAAAAAAATTTTTAAATTTATCCAATGTCGTTTTAAAGGTACACTGAAAAAATTGCATCGATAAAATTCTTTGAAATTTTATTGATGAAATTTTATCTGGGCTTGCCACATTAGTTATATTCAATCAAAACTTAGTTTGATGGCCAAAGTCGTTCATACATAACTTCATCAAGTCTGAAACTTTTCGGCACAACTAAACATTTCATTTACTATTCCAATATTACATTAAAAAAACAAATATAAACATATAAATAATTAATGAAAGACACAAAAGATTAATATATATGAAATCAATAAAAACAATTTATGAATAAATACAATAACAGCTTGATTTAGAAAAACTATAATGATAAATTTATGAAAAATGAAAACGAAAACAAATCTCTAAGAATAAATTCAAGGAGTACTTGAATAATATAATGAATTACAAGGAATAATAATAATTTACATATAGTCAAACAAACATTTTTGTTTTGAAGCTACTAAACATGAAGCTCTTAAAACCATATGTGGCTTCATATTGTTATGATAACTATTATTTTATAAACTTTTGAACCATTTAGCATATCTTCTTATTAAGTTTTTCCATTCTTTCTTTATAAAATTATTCATATATAGATTTCTTTGTTTAATGTATTTGCGATCATCAAAAAAAATCATTTTACCAAATAAACGTTTTTTTGCATTATTTATTTGTTTGGACTTTTCTTTCCAGAAGCCTAAATCTTCATTAGAGACAACTTGCGATACAAAACCCTCTTCAGAAAATAAGTTCTCTAGGTCATCGCTTTCATCTTCACCAGAGGATTCAACTTCGTCAACCTGACTTTCAACTCCTAGAACTAAAAAGCAAAATTTAAAATGGTTTTACACATGCAAATAATAGAGAACTTATAGCTAAAAAATAATTCAACGGAATATTACAAAATTATATCACACAATTTTATATAATTTTAGAACCTATACCTCCCTTGTCACGAAAGGTCAGAATAACTTAAATAATAAATCATAGAGTTTTAATTTCCCTTCTCCCATCCTTGTCATATACCCAGAATAATTGGGAGGGGTGAAAAAGAGATTTATAGTTCCATTGTAAAAAAAATGTGATTCTGAATTTAAATTCAGAATAATTGTTGCATTTTATTACAATTTTTTGCATGTGTAATTTTCATGTATATGTATGTATGTTTGTGTATTTTGGGGAGTCCATAACCAAATAAATAAAGACAAGTTAATCATTTTAAGCAAAATGAGTTCCTTTAAGTTTTTTTTAAGAAATTTTAAAAAGACTATGTTTACAACTACATTTACCATCCTTCTTTTCCACAATTACTTTTCTACCACGACTAATTTTTGCATCCTTCTTTTCTATTAAAACTTTTCTACGAAAAAATGCAGCTTTCCTTACTGCATTAGGTAAATTCTGCAAGTATAATTAAGTAAATTTACTTTGTTTAATACACATGTCATTGATGGTTCAGATGTACATAGGCTCACACTTACGCAGCTTTTCAATTTGCCAATGTTTATAATATGATTTAGCGCACTAGCATCAGTTAGTACTTACACAGATATGTACTTAAGCCATTTTTTTAAACATTTTGCGCTCCCATACTATTTTTCACAGAGCATGTGCAACATCCTCAACAAGTTTTTACATACGCAATTTCGCATTTTACAAGTTTACAATCATGCTAGTGCTTGTAAAATCAATTGGCGTTTGTGTGTTAGTTTGCAGTCGGAAACATTTCTACTAGTAATTTCCAATTATATAGGTTTACATAATTTAAAATTATATAAGTTTGCATAATTTACATAATTTTATAGGTTTGCATAATTTTGGCATAAAAGTTAATTATTTGGCAGTATATAAATAATGGTAGCAATACTATATAAATGAGGTATTAAAAGGAATGAAACTAGGTTAAATCAAATTATATTGCTTCTAATTGCTTCCCTAGTAGCAAGCAAATTTGATTCTATATTGTTGCAATATATATCTCAATATTGGCTAAATATTGTTAATGATTATCTAAATATTCTTGAACGGATTTAATGAAAGAGTTAAATATTATTGCACTAATATAAAATATCCACATTTTGATATATATTGGTTATCTATAAACTGCAATATAATGCCAACATATTTTATCACAGTCAATAAAAAAAAAGCATTGAGTTTAAAACAAGTTATTTTAAATAAAAAGCAGTATAAATATAAATGTTTATATATGCGCTTACAAAATATATGCGCTTATGTTCGTTTGATTAACTTCCAAATAAAAAAATAAAAATTTTACCCCAACCCCCTGTAAAATAGTTTTAAAGGCGATTGATAAATTTTTCTCCTCTCCTATATATAAATATATATATATATATATATATATATATATATATATATATATATATATATATATATATATATATATATATATATATATATATATATATATATATATATATATATATATAAATCCAATAAAAGCCTGTAGATTATCTATTTAACGTCATCCATTAATTATCGTGATAATTGTTAAAACAAGATACTTCCTTAACAATTTTTGAAACGCATGCGTACAACTATGTAAAAATTTCAATATTACCAAGCTAATGCGCTAATAGTGGCATGAGTATCCCAATACGGCCCCAATATTGGCATTCTAATATTGGACAAGCAATATTGGAACAGTTTTTGCATGTGAATACTTACCAATATTGGTGTGCCAATATTGGCGCAATACTGTTTACCATTATAGGCACAATATCTTTTACGATACTTGCCAAGATACCCAATATTGCACCATTATTGTACCAATATTTCTTTCTACTAGGGTTAGTTACAATAGGGTTGGATACAATATTAGACAAAACTATATAACATATTACATTTTTTTACTCAAAATTTCAACTCAACATTTTCATTGTTTTATGAAGATAATAAATAAAGGTTAAAAACAAAATTAAAAAAAAAGTTTTAAAGTAATGAAAACCTTTAAAATAATCTTGAAGTTTGTGAATAAAATATTTTCTTTTGCATATTTTATTTTTAGCAGAAGCTGACTTTATTTCGTTTTGCAATTGATCAACGGCGTGTAGAGTATCGGGATCATTGATTTTGCAAATTGACGCCTTCTTATGATAGTTTAAGCATTTCTCAAGTTCATTTAAATTGCAATTTTCTACGTTTAAGTTTTTCAGAGTGTCCAGACGCAATATACAATTAAAGTGCAATGATAATTCACATTCTAAAATTTTTATAAAAAAATTTAATGTTTAAAATTTTAACTTGTAAATTTTACAAATATTAATTAAATTTATTTTATTTGTTATATAAGGAACTACATATAACTAATAATATATAATAAATTATATAAAAGTTAAATGTATGCAAAGTAATACTTTCCCATAATCCTTCAAGTCGTTGGTGAGTTTAGGTTTAGTGAGTTTACTACGAAATGTGAAATTTTTTAAAAACGTTCATTTTAAAAAACTTTTTTAGTAATTTGAAATGAAAACCAATTATCCAACTGCACTGGAACTTCTTCCGGGAAGCTTGGAAACTAGGAAGCTAGGAACTTGGCTCTTCCGGGAAGCTTGGAAACTAGGAAGCTAGGAACTTGGCTCTTCCGGGAAGCTTGGAAACTAGGAAGCTAGGAACTTGGCTCTTCCGGGAAGCTCCCTCTTCCCCTATTATTTAAATTTTAAAACGCTTTTGTCAATATTAGAATAATTAGAATAATATGAAAGTTGTCATCTCGATATAAATATTAAAACTTTCTGTATGAAATAACATCGAAAACAAACTTCTCATAATTTTGTAAAGTTTGGACAAAAATATATACTAGAATGACTTTAAATGTTTTATTAATTTAAAATTAAACTATATATATATATATCTATATATATATATAAAAATATATATATATATATATATATATATATATATATATATATATATATATATATATATATATATATATATATATATATATATATATATATATATATATATATATATATATATATAATTATATTTAGATGAATAAAAACAACTGATTAGCGGGACTTAAAGTTTCATGCCCGAAGGCAATCATAAGCCGTTAATACAAACAAAAAACGTAAAAATTACTGTAGAATGACATCTGACGTTATAAACAAATCTACGTAAAAAACAAATCAAAAAACAAAAAACAAAAAGCCGTTATAGTTTACTAGTCCCCTGTGTCAAATAAAGATAATAGGAATTTTTTTAAATGTCGACACTGAGATACGATTTCGTTTTTTTTATTCAGTAGGTTTTTTCCATTATGCGATAAAATTACATACTTTTTGTAGAGACAAAGGTGGCATATTTTTGTTGCTAGATTGTAAGGTTTACAACGTTTGACAATTTTACATTCTATAATGGGCTTTATTTTTTGGTCTTTTAAACTCCATATTTTCTTAGATAGTTCTGTGTCATTTCTATATTTAACTGATGCAAATGGTTTGAGATGGTTTGCGTATCTTAGTTTATATGGTGTACTACTAATGCCAAAATATACTTTTTTATTACGATCATGATGACTGGAACTTACGGTTGCTTAATAGACGATATTGTTAGATAAACATTAATTGTTCAAAGGGCAAAATGCTTTATCTACGCAGTTACATTGGTTGATTTTTAATTGATTTTTGTTGTGTAAAATTTTGAAATTATGCGAATTTATGATAGATTTTAGGTTAGGCATGCAACTGTAGCTAATCTTAAGAGAATTTCGGTTGACTATTTTATGTAGCTTGTGACCGGCTGGAAAATGTAAGTCAATAAGGGCTAGAAAACGGTTTCCTATTTTTGTTTTGACGTTTAAGCTGAACGGAGGGTTATACCAAATAGTATTACGTTTACGTTGCTTTTTTTGTTGATTTTGACTTGAGATTATTTGTGGTTGGTAGGTAAGGTTCGATTTGTATCCCGATTTTTTTAAAGCCTAATCATACGGTGGAATAGCCTTTTTGAAGAAATTTTCATTAATTGACATGGAAGATAATCTTTGTTCAACATTGCGAGGGATTGCTTTTATTATGCTTGGAGGGTGGTTAGAATTAGAGTGGATGTACCTTATTTGATTATCAGGTTTAAAATATGGTTGAAACGTATCGTTACTTAGATTTAACGTAACATCGAGGTAGTTAACCATTTTTAAATTAGATTGAATGGTGATTTGAAGATCGTTTTTTTAAAAAATGAGTGTTATATGCTTTTTGATTTTTTTCATTTGCTGACCATTTTTGTTCTTGAATACAGCAAGACCGTCGTCACGATATAGGCCGAAATCTTCTTTATTATAATATTGTGAAATTTGATACAGTATGAAAATATCTATTAATTCGCAAACTTCAGCACCATCAAATATATATATATATATATATATATATATATATATATATATATATATATATATATATATATATATATATATATATATATATATATATATACATATATATATACAGGACCGGGACTTTAGGTCTATACCTCCCGGCACTTTAGGTCTTCTGGCTCCTGTTGGCCTCCAAGAATTCAGATTTAGCAGCGGTTTAAAAAAGTATATATAATTGTTGCGTTGTAGCATTATAATGTTTTTTTTAAAAAAAAAAAAAAAGCATCTTGCGTTATTTATTACTAAAAACACGCTGCAATTAGTGTAGGTTTTAAAACACCTTTCATCTGCATTTTAACCTTGCAAATGCAGATATGATATCTTTCAGGTGGATGTAATTCAATACTCGGTTTTCTATTTGAACGAAAAAAAAAATCTGAAAAACGTTCCTGAAAAAAAGCTCCAAAATGAAAAAATTCATTCAATAATAAAAATTAAGATCTGTCAACAAGTTTTTATGCACTGCAAACGCACAAAAACTTGTTGTGCATCTCCAAAATATCCATGCTGCGGAAATTCACAAACATAGACATAATTTGAACATAGGTAAAATTATCCATGTTGACCAAAGAAACGACACTCTTTTCATACTGCTCAAAATTGGAGTAAACTTGCTGCAAATCCTTCAGGGAGTTGTACAGTTCTTCAACCATATCTAAATCAACCTTTACAAACTACAGTTTCTTGTTAGTTTTGTTGAACCTTTCCATGATTCTGTTCCAAATTATTATTAAAATAGCTGTCTCAAGTTGTTCCATTTTGGTCAAACATCCGAAGGCCTCTGCTCTTGGTTTTGCTTTCTGATTGTCATTAAGATCAAGAAGAGATGCCTATATAGAAAATAAGTATGTACAATTACAAATAAAAAATGTTTTTCTTTAATTTTCTAAGTAACTTTTAATCACCTTGTAAAAAGAATAACCCTTTTCAATGGCTAAATAAGCATCAGCAGGAGCTGGCCAACGAGTTTGTGAGAGAGTCTAGGGAGCCTTAACACATATTTCAACAAGGAAATTTAACTTTAAGATGTGTTGATGCAATGAATTTAAATTTTAAGACAATAATGCATTGATGCAGAAACAAAGTTATAAGTTTCATGAAGAAAACTAAAAAAATTTACAGCAGCTGCGTTGGATTCCGCAGCATTCACTCCTACGAGGTTCAAATAGTGAGCAGTACATGGAATGTATTTGGCGAGAACGTTAATCTCTTTAATTCTTGTTTGTAAACCAAAGTAGATTCCAGACATATTACTAGCATTGTCTTATGATTGGCCACGACAATTTTCAATGCTGATTGCATACTAATCTAACTTTTTCAAAACGATTTCAAGCATGGATATTGCAAAATGATTATGCATGGGAAATTAATGCTAAAAACCGCTCAACTGGTTTTACGTTTTGTTCACATCGGGAGTAGAATCAATGATGATTGAGAGATATTTTTGTTAACTAAGAAATTATGTTTGAATCAAATAAAAAAATTATACTATAACATGTTACTTTAGGATGATCATATTACCTATAAACTCCATAACCTCGGATGCTATGAAGCGTATGAGTTCTTCGCAAATGTCTTTAGATAAGTACAAGATACAACCCTTTCCTTTTTTTTCATAAGTTATTAAGTATTAGGCAAGGAAAAGATCAAATTTTACTAATAGCTCAATACATCCGATAAATTTTCCGTTGCGTATCAATCCTAGTTTTTCGTCTGATCAGCGGAATAATAATCCTCAAGGATAGAAGTTGATAACAACTTTTCTTTATATATATATATATATATATATATATATATATATATATATATATATATATATATATATATATATATATATATATATATATATATATATATATATATATATATGTTTTAACTCGTAATGGGGAGAAAATAAAAAGAGATTGGCTTGTTTGAAGTTCAAATTCAAAAATATTTCTTTGCTTTTCGTGCTCACTTTTCGGAAGCAAGCAAACCTGCGGGGCTGGTTCTCATTCACATCTTCTACGCTGGAATGGTGCCATTAGTGGAAACTGAAGAAAGCTAGCTGACAAATTAAAAAGCCTCCAAAACAATCCTCACCATCGAAGTTATTACATTAAGTGGAAAACAGCGCTGAAAAGCTTAGGAAATCAGTGTGGGATTGATTCAAGTTTCAAAAAATCAATAAGAAATGAGGCAGCCAGGCGGCTAGAAATTTTAAGTGCATTTTAGATGTAATTTTCTTCTTAACCTCACGCAATCTTAGCTCCAGAGGTATATTTGTCAACGTTAATTGTTATATTTATATTTATGTTATAATTTATTTTTACTATAATTAAACAGAAAGTCATGATTTATATGTGTAATTAAAATCGTTGTTTTAGGCTTATCAAAAATGATCGGTGATGACGATAACAGCAATTTTCTTGTAACTCTAGAGCTACTCCCAAAGCACAACAAGGCCCTTTAGTTACATCTAGAACAGGTTTCTTGCTGCCAAAAAGAAGGTAAACAAATTTTTGCCCATTATTTGGGTTGGAGTTCTTAAAATGAATTTATAAAAGAGTGCGGAAGAATTATCCTTGGTGCAATCATTAATAAGACGCATATGGCACTTTACTATTCCATTCTTGTCAAAGGAATGCCTGACGTCTCTCATACTGAGCAAATTGCATTTGTTCTCTAATTTGCTAACCAATTATAGACCTATCTCAATTCTTCCAGTGTTTACCAAACTCCTGGAAAGAATAATTTACAACCGACTTTATGAATATTTAGCAGCCAATAAAATCTTAAGTGAACGTCAATACGGCTTTCAAAGAAATCATTCTACGGAGCAT